TTACAAGTCTCTGGCTCTCCTTCCCAATCTCCAAACCAGTTACTACTCTTTACATACCTCCACCCATTCACACAGTTCCCAAGGCTAACGTACTCACGAACCATACATAATAGGCTCTCTCCTAGCCACCCGCCTTCTCATCGGCGCCTTCGAAGCCGGATTTTATCCCACGGCCCTCGCCTACTTGACAGTGTTCTATCCCCCTTATGACCTTGCTGTGCGCATTGCGCTGTTCTATGGACAATACGCGGTGGCAGGGGCGTTTTCTGGGGCCATAGGTATGTACAACGTCCCTTCCGTGTCTCCGTGAACCTTTCGACATGTCATCAGTGCCGCCGAAGGTGCAGTAATGATGGTGAAACCATGACTCAGCCCACCCTGTCGCGGCCAGCAGACGTTAACGTTGACGTGGACTGGTGTGGATGTGCATCCACGGCTCCATTCACATCCCCGGCCATGGCCCATGTCCATCAACCCAACAATCATCTATGCACGCACCACAGTCACAGTATAAGTTGCTCTCACCCTGGGGATTCGCTCGCTAACCGCGAGTGGACTAGCCTATGCTATATTTCGGATAGAGCACCCGACGTTGAAGAGCTGGCAGCTCCTGTTCCTCATTGAAGGTGGTGCGACGTGTCTTGTCGCACTGTTTGCATGGGTATGGTTGCCCGAGGGGCCGGAGAGTGCTTGGTTTTTGACATCGGAGGAAAGAGCGTTATTCAGGAGATGTCGAGTCGTAGATGGAGTTAAAGCTAGTAGTGAATGGGCAGAAGAGGGCGATGATGAAGAGGCCGGACATGGATATAGAGTGAACGGGAGATGCCATAATGACGATGAGACTGAGAGTCAGCGGATGGTAACAGGAGGTGTTGAAGAAGAAGCATCCGGGCGTTTTGTAACCTGGCGAGAAATTGTCGAAACTGTCCGTGACTGGAAGCTCTGGCTCCTTCTTCTTTGCAACATTTGCGCCAGTATCCCCAGCACCGCATTCTCGGTCTTCCTACCTTTGGTGGTAGAGGGGATGGGATACTCGGCCCTGCAAGCCAACCTGGTTCGTTGCATGATTTCTCATCTCTGCATCAGATTCCCGCACTCATAGTACATGTCCGCTAATACTCTCCGGAAAACAGATGTCAGTACCCCCCTTCGTCTCTGGCGCATTGGGCGTCTACCTCTTTGCCCTTTCCTCCGACCGCCGTCAAGAGCGGGGATATCACATCATGGCTGGACTTGCCATTTCCGCAGTCGGGTTAGCAGGCATTGTTTTCACCACTTCCTCGTCCGGCAAGTACATGGCCCTGTGCATTCTTCTCTTCGGCTCCTACGTACCCCCGCCCCTAACCGCTGCTTGGCTATCCAATAACACGCGTTCCCCCAACAAGAGAGCGCTTGTGCTGGGTGTCAACGGATGGGGTAATCTGGCGGGGGTTATTGGGAGCTGGGTGTTTAGGATCGGCAGTGACCATGGCGGTGGCCATGGTCAAGAGGAAAGGGGACATGAATATAGGGAGCCGTTATTGATCACATTTGGGTTTGTTGGGATAGCAATCATGGGGTATTGGGCGTATACGGAGGTGCTGAGATGGGAGAACAGGAGAATGGATGAGGCTGAAGTTGGAAAGATGGTGGAGGAGAGCAGCATGAAATGGGACAGCGAGAATCGATGTAGGACAATGGATGGGGAGGGGAAGCCAAGTTCTAGGGGTCATAACTTGTAGGCCAAGGGTCGTGTAAGAAAAACGGTGATAGGTGGTGGATGTAGGGATAGCTCCGTATGTCGGGTACCTCGTCCTCTTGATTGAGAAAAAGATTGGGTATCAACGATCGCAGTCATTAGTGTAATGCAAGGACCAGCAGTGTGGCTTCGTTGTGGGTATGTAGCTGCGTTGGTCCTTGGTGGATTTCTCCGTCGTAGATCTGCCTGACCGAGTTCTCGAATGGTGAAATTCTAGACTGGACTGGATGTGAATCAATGTCGTGTGAATTGGTTCCAATGCTACGCGGCCAGCCTCCCCCCACTCTCGCACATTCATGTGGCGTCCCAGCGTTGCCTGTTTTGGCTCACATTGATCACACATGGAGACTTGGTAGACACTGGAGACACACCGCCCGTCCCAGGGCCCATTGTTTTCAGGATCGGTGGTGAAAAAGGCGGAGGAGGATTGCCATGCCGGGCACTCCATGGCAACCATGCCATTCCATGACACAGGTCCCGACGGGTTAGCACTGTCTTGGTTGTACCTCTCGAGGTGCTTAGAGGTGAGTGGAAGGTATCCTCTTTGACCACGGGGTACCCATGTTGCGTTCCACGGCCGTGGTGTACTGTTTCTTCAGCAGCTCTGGATGCCACTCAACGCTTGCTGGATACCTTACGGGAGCTATGCTGATGCTCGCTGTGACGAGGCAGAGCCATGAAGTGGAAATCCAATCATCCGATCCCACGGGTACACTCGCACTGCGCTGTACCTTCCATGTCGACCTTGTCATTGTCTTGTCACTGGATACTCAGTGGCAGGACTGCTTGTCAGCATCGATGGACGCCGCCGTTCGGTTTGTCAGATTGGAAGCTTCACCTTGAATTTTGCACAGGCCGGTCTAACCCCTCTGGGCCTAGCATCCTTCGCCGGTCTCGCGGCTGCGCTTGTCATGGTAGGTACCTAGGTCATGGTGGGCGGCCAGAAGCAGCGAGTGGCTCCCGGTCCCATCCACCCCCCCAGTCGAACAAAGCGTTTCCCCTCCTTCCATTTTTTTTTTTTTTTTTTTTTTTTTTTTTTTTTTGCTCACCTCACCACGCTTTAATGAAAGAGCGATTACCGAGTGACAGGTGACTTGTCATGGGAGTGTGGGTTGATGATTGACCAGTCCCTCGTTTGCATCGTGTCATTGAAGGATGGACCAAGAAGACACTGTCTCGTCCCTACGAATTATTGCCTTGTCGGCAATCATCTTCGACGCAAGGTAAGCTTTTTTGAAGACACTGCACGGAAATGAGTCGGGAAGTAATCGGGCATCAGCCCATTGGGTGCTTTCCCCCCTTCCGGTGCCGTCGGCGCAAATGGTCCATGCATCCCGGTGAAGGCTGATGCATGAGGATGAACCGGTAAGAGCAGACAAGAACAGGCTGTGAGGACCGAGTTGTGGTAGCACAAGGAGCGATTGTCAAGCCCGGGCCTGTTCTGTCCCATGTTGTTGCCTCCAAGGCTTTGGATACCTCCCGTCTCAGCTATTACATGTTGATGACCAAACAAACAGAAGCGAACGAAGAAGGGCGGTCGCGGGTTTAAAGAGGGAAAAATGAAAATTGCAGTAGGTACTTGTACTACCTTACCGCCTTTGCCTCACCTTCCTCCTCCGAGCCATCTGTGGTACCATGGACATGTTACCCCTCCGAGTCCACATTTCTACTTGCCCACTCGACATCTGTGCCCCGTGCCCCTGTACCCGGTCGGGACCAGTGGGAGGAAACAGTGGGCTCCGACGGTCGATGGAAGAGCGGGTGCGCACGGGCTGTTTTCCGGATACAGTACCAAAGACATGCTCTAGGGCAGCTCGGCAGGTACGTAACCTCCCGATGTAGCTTGGGTTAGCGGGGTGTCTTCCCCCCACCCGCGTGTATGCCCTGGCCGTGTGCCCACCGGTGCCCCAGCGAGCCCTGGTAGCCCCTGGCAAGCCCTCTCAGGCCCCGGCAACGGACTTAGCTGCCACAAAGCCTGCTATCACCGAGTACCTTGCAAATATTTCCTCGGTGTTCTTCCCATCCACTCCCGTCCGTCCCCTCCCCCAAGGAATCCCTCCAATCCTCGCACCACGCAATCCGAATCCGCCAAAAGCGCATGGAAGTGGCCGGCGCGGGTACAAAATCCACGGACGGGTACTGACACCGATGCCAGTGCGGTACTCGCTGCTAGCTTAATCATCAGCCGCCGCTTGTCGCCGACTCCTTCCTTTTCTTCGACTTCGACCTGTGTGCTGTGTGGCCGACGGTGATGGGATCTTGAGCACGAACGAATTGGAAATCCGGGTGTGGTTCTTGAAAGTCGACGTCTCGATTCCCGACCTGGGCTGATTCCACTTCTCCTCCGGCGGCTGCCTTACTCACCTTGCTGCTGCTCCCGACCTTCCTTGTCCCGTTGTCCCGTCTCTCCGTCGTTGCTGCCCGTTGTGGATGACGACCTAACCACTGACCCCCGTTGTCCCCGTTTTCTCCTTCCCGTTTTCTTCTGGAGCGAGGAAGTGAGTGACTTGGCGGAACGAACTTGCATTTACACTTGCCGTCTTTCGGTCTTGCCTTTTCGTCTTTTCTTCACCTGACTCGCCCCCCCTCTTTCCAGTCTTCTCTTCTCTTCACTTCCTCCTTCTTCCACTCCCTCTACTCCTCTTCCTCCATCCTTCCCGTCTTCCCTCGGTGCTTCTTCTCAGCTTCACCCAACTAACCACCCTCCTTCCTCCCCCCAACGACACGACCTGACGCCCCGTCTGGACGTGCCACCACCATCGCGACCACACGGACCACACCGGTCGGTCAAGAGGGGGAGCCGTTGTCAGCGAGTCCTTCGTTGTGTGCAGTGGTCAAGCCTGCACATCTGTGACCTCGATCGACATCACCCGGCCTCACTTCACCCTCTTATCGCTCATTGACGCCGGCCGACGCCGACACTCCCGGGCTCTCACCTCACTCACCTCACCGGTTGACAACTCACTCTCAACTACAAAGACTACCTGCTGAACGCATCATCGCCATCCTCGCCGTCGACAGGAGGTGAACAGGACGACGCGGCACTGGCAAGAACCAAGGCTATTTGACGCACACTGCCAGATGGAAAGTGTGGTCGGGTGCCAGTGTGATCCCAATCGCCTCATCATCCTACCGTCCCTGACCTATCGTCTCTTCTCGCCAACCTTTTCGGCATTTCCCCTCCTCCTTCCAGAACCCAAGGCAAGCACCACTTGGGATACAGGTGTGACAGCAACACCACACCGACAAGCTGGCTTCAGATATGCCGAGGTCGTCCAAGAGTTCGGGCGCCGACGATCCCAACTTTCGCTTACCCGTCAACCCGCGGCGGAAAAAGGTCGCGCCCGAGCAACGCAAGCGCGTGGCCCTCGCCTGCAACAACTGCAATGTCAAGCGCATCAAGTGCTCGGGCGAGAAGCCGTGTCGCCAGTGCACCCAGGCCCAGCGCCAATGCATCTACCCCCAGGGCGTTAAAAAGGTCACCGTCCCCCAGACTTACATTGACGGGCTGCTCGGCAAGATAGCCAAATACGAGAGTCAACTCCAGATCACCAGCAAAGCGGCTAGCGGCAATGGCAATGGTAACAGCAAGATCGACCTCAGCGGCTTGCTTCAGCCGTTGCAGGCTGTCCAGGAAGGGGATCAGGGCGGCATGAGCATCGACTCGCCAGACGGCGTAGGGGCCGCCGGCCAGGCCTATCTCACCGAAGGCTCGGTCACGTCCACGACGTCGCACTATGACTACCCTGTCCATGCACACAACCACAACTTTGAGCCCGCCTTCTCCATCGATGAGGACACGGAGATGCAGATGGACTACCCCGTCGACGACGGCAGAATGCTGGCCGATGCTGAGGGTACCGCTCGCTACCTTGGAGAAACCTCTGGCGCCACCTTCCTTGATTCGCTCAAGGCCTTCATCAAGACGACGCAGCCGCTGGCCTCCAAAGGTCTCTCTCCCAACCCTGAGACGCCCGACGGCAGCAGGAATGCAACCTTCCTCAATTCGGTTGGTCGCTACCAGACGTTCGATTCCCGTCCTCTCCTGCTTCCGACCATGGACGTGGAGCCGCGCATCCCCACGCAGCTGGAAATCCAGGCCATGATCACGCAGTTCAAGACCTTTCTCCAGGACGACAACGGCAAGGCAGGGTGCGGCGGCATTTTTTTCTGGCCATTCCAGGACCCCGCCAAGATGGCGCTACCGGACCAGTCCGGTTTTGGCACTGGCTTCAAGCTGGACACCACTAAACCGCGGAACCACACCGCTCGGGAGCACGGCCAACTGGCATTGGTCTACACAGCCTTTGCCTTTACCCATCTTCTGACCCTGACCGAGGAGAATTCCCGGGTGGATGGCCAATTGGGCGAAGCCCACTATGCGGCGGCTAGGATGCTGATCGGAAACCCCCTGGACATGACGTCCTACACAATTTACAACGTGGCCGTTTTGGCCCTGATGGCCCTGTACCTGGTGGAGAACAATCGCCGAGATGCCGCCTACATGGCCATCAGCAACGCCATGCATCTCAGCGTGATGCACGGCGTGCACAGGGAAAGTTCAGTCACCGAGGTCGAGCGTAGGACTTTCTGGACGGTTTACAACATCGATCGGTTAGTCCATGCCATTTCCCACCGGTGTTGCCTCCTAGCGTCAACTAGCCAACCACTTGCTGACACATACCTGTTTCTTCTAGCTGGCTGAGCTGCTTGATGGGTCGCCCACCCGCGGTCCCTCATCAGGCCATTACCCTGTCCCTGCCACAGGAAGCACCGTGAGTTGTACCCTTCAATCGTACCTTCACCGTACTTGGCCTAATGGTGTGTCTCAATAGGGGCCTTCCTTCGCCGCTTGGGCTGTGTGCACATGTGGAACTGTCCAAGATTTCCGCGTACATCGTCAACAACAGCTATCGTCATCATGCGAACAAGCCGGCCGACGGGTTCGATGAGCTGCCCTTTTCGGTCGCAATTGGGAAGCTTGACCAATGGCATGAGAACCTGCCCAAGAGCTTGAAGCTCGAGAATTTGGAGGAGAGTCCCAGCAACTATTACTACTATGCACTCCAACCCGAAGCCGAGGACCCGGCACTCGGTACCGACCGGGCTTTGTTGTCACTGCACATGGCTTACAATCAGGTATGCAACCCTGTTTTCACCCCTCACATGATGTGCATGACAGACAGCTAACGGTTTTAGCTCATCATCTTGGCAATCCGTCCCGCGTTCCTCACCGCCGTTAAGAAGAAGGTAGCCAATACCTGGTTGACACCTGGGCTTGAGGGCCCTGGAGCGGAACCGGAGAATCCTTGGACCCGAGCCATTCGCAAGTGCAGCGATGCCGCACGGCGCAACCTCCGCATCGGCAGACGACTACAAATCATCAGCCCCGGCCAGAAGCTGCTCGTGCAGGACCTCCATCACATCTTCAATGCTGCCATCATCCTTCTGATGCATCAAATCCTCTTTGTCAACCAAAGAGTGTACGACATGTTCCTCATTGACAAGGCAAAGGAGGTGTTCAAGAATGAGGCGATGACGGGCAGTGACTATGGGAAGGACTGTCACAACGTCCTCAACGATCTGAAGCCCTTGGTCGATAAGCTGCACGAAGTAATTCACCGCAAGGAGCATGAGCAGCTGTCTGTCCCCACGGAGAAGCAGCAGAGCGGATCGGTGCATAGCCCTGTGAACAGAGAGACCACACCGGGTGCCCTCTCGGGTCCGATAACGGGCTCTCCGACGAAGCCGTATCCCAGCCATGTGCAAGGTTGGTTACAGAATGTGAGACCTGAAGACGGTACCACGGTTGTTCAGGAGCTCAAGACATGGCAGGATGATGACGGTATGCAGGTATATAGACCGGGCAATTCGCTTGCCTAAGACCATGTTATGTTGTTGGTTCTCTCGTGTCATCCTTCTTGTCTTTGGCGTTTGGAAGTTCCCATGTGTTGGACACCACGGATGCACTTGCTTGTTAGGAGTCTCATGATACAAATTGCACGGCAGGCATTGGCACTAGCGATTATACCCCTTTACTTGATAGAATTAGCGTTAAATTTGTTAGACCTTAAAGCATCCTTTGCCTTCTTCGATGACACATTGGTAAAACTCCGTACCCTCGCGCACTCCATGGGCTTCCCTTGACACTTGATATTTTGAGCTGATATCGTTCTCCTTTTTCCCTCATCCGGTACCACTGCAGCATCAGCTCACAGGGGTCCAAAAAGTCGTTTCTCCAAACCCTGAAGCGTCTCTGACTTCTTCTTCACGTTCTCATCATTCCATTCGCCCTCCTCAGTAACGTAAGCATCAATGAGCCCCCCGGCACACCACTCAAAAGACACGTTTCTCACTTCCACTTTTACCTGCGTCTTCTCCTTTTCTTCATGCTTCTTCTCTTTCTTCTTCCCCTCAAATCTTGTGGCATGAGCAAAGTTCAATACTGTCCTGGCAGCCCCTCTAATTTGCTTACTACTACCCTCGCCCATCCACACCCTCGTCACTTGTTCCAAACCCTGATCCTCCACTACGTGTTGTTCTGGCGGTCCAGGGAGTGCCACCTTTTCCGAGTCGCAAAGGACTACCACCTTGGCTTCTTTTGCGTTGTATTGAGTGGCGAGGAGAACAGACAGCGAGCCAGTCTTGTTACTCACTGAGCCGTCTGAGGCGATGCGGTCGGCGCCTATCACCACCAGCTGCACCCCGCGAGTGGCATGACAGGCCGAGGCATCGGTGTAGATGATGATGCTGTGTTGGCGGTCGTTACTGGATGCCAACTCTGTGGAGAGAGCTTTGGCGAGGCTGGCGGCGAGAGAGACGCCTTCGAGCAGGGGGCGGGATTCAAGAACGCGGATATCAAGGACGGAATTGGGGAGAAGGATGGGGAGATGGGAAAGGGCGTGGGTGATCGTGGAGGACTCCGACAAGGTCAGTATAGAAAGAGGTTTTTGAGGTGTATTGAAGGAGGGGAGGTTACGGGAGATGTAGGAGGCGAACGATCGGGAAATCTGGTCATTGGTCAAGGGGCGGGCGGAGATCTCCCGGTCCAAAATGGAGACGATGGTTGATTTGAGTTGCTTTCCGCTGCTCTTGGAGCTGGTGGCATGGTCCTGGAAAACTTTAGCCTCAACGGAAGCCAAAGCAGACAACAAAGCAGACATGATCGCCGCGCCCATACTCTCCCGTCCATTCTTCCACAGATGCCATGCAGCCATTCTGATGTCCTTCCACCATTTGGCCTCTTTCCCATCTCCATTCTCTCCATACAAGACACCGTCGTCCATCTTGTCGATCACATCCCGCAAGATACGCAAGGCATCACCTGCCATTTGCCTCGCCCCACTCACATAATCCTCCTCCAGACGTTTACACCCCTCCGCCAGCACCTTTCCGGCTTCAAGTCCAAGATCAATCTCAAACCAGACTCTCCTCAAACTCTCCTTCAGCTTCGGCACTCCTCCGAAATCTTCAGTATCTCGCACATCCAACGGATCGAACCATGCCCACCCCTCGTGCTCCCAATTGATTTTTATTCTTTTCTCGCTTCCCCCGCCATCCCCAGCCGGGTCCTTCAACAAAAATGCAAACGGCCAGATTGTCCATTCTCGCCCGACTGATTCATCAGAGAAAGTGTACGGCTTCCCTTGCCGAAGGACTTTCAGGTCGGAAGCAGTTAAAGTGGTCTCTTCATGAATCTCACGCCAGGCTGCGCTAAGGGGCGAAGGGTCGGTTGAATCGATGGAACCGGAGATGGGCGCGTAGTGATGGGTGTAAGTGCTGACTTTGTCGGAGCGTTTGAACAGAGCCACGAGTGGTTTTTGGATAGATGGATCAAAATTGGAGGTAGTCGGTAGAGAGGAGGAGGAGGAGGAGGATGGAGGGGAAAAGTAAGCAGGGGGGAGTTTGAAGATGAAAGAAGAGACCACGGATCGGTGTTTTAGTGGCTTCTGGTTGGTAGAGGTACTTGGAGCAGTGGAGGACGGGGTAGCAGTGGACATCTCCGATAACGACCGATGCAGGATGTGGGTAGAATGGTGATGGGCAATGTATCGCAAGCTAGTCCACGTAGGCTCGTCAACAATCGCATAAGGTTATTTTCGGCGCTCGCCCAATGGAGAACTGAAGGAAGGGAAGATGAACAACGTCGGATTTGTTCGGCTGCAATGTCGCGATGAGCGGTCTGGTACGATGACGTCACCCTTAAAGTGCCCCGGTCTATCGAGGGCCAGATCAACAGATAAGGGTTAGGGGCTGTGATTGACAAAAACGCAAAGAGGAGGTACTACAGTCGTGACCCCTGAAACTGCATGTAATTCAGACTTGGAAATCCTATGCACTAAATAGCATATATGCAGTATCTGAACGCGGGGTTAGGCCAAAATAGCTAATTCAGACCTGAGAATTCTATGCACTAACTAGCGTATATGCAGTATCTGGAGGATGCAGTTTCAGGGGTCACGACTGTAGAGGTAAACACCTGGAACGCGAGACATTATGTGATAGCTATTCGTACAACCTAGGCTTAAAACAGAGTACGCGGAATTTTAGTTACTTGTGGTTTCTCTGCGATTTTGCGTTCCATACAGATTCATAGTGTAGTTTCATACTCCCAATGCCTCCCCATTATTCTTATCCCTCCCAGAGCCTTCTGCTTGCTACACCTATCTCAAGATGCCTACCTCTAGTGAGGCTGATATCATATACAACGGCAGTTATCAGGCAGGATGAAATGCTTGTTTACCTATCCTTAGCGCTTATTCAGGCACCGAGATAAATTCAATCATGACTGGTCCGCAGAATAGCAGCCGTTCTCGCCAAGAACATTGAAGGGTGGTGTTACTCAGCGCGCTTGCACAGCATCAAAATTCGGGCGTTTCATTCGTACCACATCGAGCCCCTGACGCCCCTTTTAGTATAAGTCCGAGGCTGGTCCAGAATCTTATAAAGATCATGTTCAGCTTTTGGTTTTGCTGCGCCGCTTGTGTGGATCGGGGCTTGGTCGATTGGACATATAACATTGAGGTCTCGACCATTGTCGGCGTTTAAGACGAGGTCAAAATGGCAAGCTACAGCTATCAGCAACAATACCCACCACCAGCACAGGTCGGATCTGGACACCCTTACCAGCCGTTCCCCGGTCCTCAGCAAGCGGAGAAGACAGGTTTTGTGCCCGGCGAGATTCAGCATCCATATCCGGACCAAGGCACCCCGATGTTGCCAGAACAAAACACAGGTGCCGGGTCGGGGTCGACCCTCCTCACGGTGAAACGAAGCATCGCACTTGCCGTCATCGGTACCTTGGCCCTGCTTCTTGCGACGGTCATTGGTCTTGCGGCAGGTCTAGGTGTGAGCCAGAAGAACCTCCACGATGCCAAGAATGACTTGAAGTTGGCGCAAGCGAGCATCACGGCAGGACTTGGGTAGGTTTTCCTTCCATGTATCCAACCCAATGACCAGAACTAATGAACCCATCTAGGGCAATCACCTCGTCCCCGACAATCGCAACTGCCACCTCCACCAGCACTTCAAGTGCGTCTTCGACTGCGACCACCATCGCAAAAATTGAGTGTCCATCCATCAACGGAACTTTTTACACGGCAACGGTGGGCGGTAATTCTAGCAGCCCCGGTGGCAGCAGCAGCAAGAAGTTCCAGCGTCTCTGCGGCGTTGACTTTGGAAAAGGAGAAGCCGCCGACATTGGCTCCGTAAACACGACCAGCTTCAACTCGTGCTTGGATAAGTGTGCGGAGAAGCAAGGGTGCACCGGAGCGGGATGGGGTGCGATCACGGGCGACGAGGAAACCCATCACACGTGTTGGATGAAGACAAATCTGACAACAAAGGGGCATGAGGCGGTGGACGAGTGGGCTTTTGGAGTGTTGGAGTTGAGTGGTAGTGGGAAGGGGGAGGACAACGACGAGGGTGATGATAATGATCTTGATGGGAACTGAGTTTGGTGTGATATGTTGAGGAGGGCAATTGAGGTGACAGGGTAAAGCGAGGGGTCGGAAAGAATCACTGACTGATAGTGATTGAGAACTACTTTGTTCGTTTGCTGGTGTCGAAGTTGTATGGTAGCCGACGGGAGTTTTACCGTACATCAAAGACGGCTTTTCCCTTTGCCCTTTCCAAGTTCCCTTTGCCACTTTCTGGGTGCCTTGAAATCCCGCTGTTAGCAATGACGGGACCCAGGAGCGGGAGGCAACACCGGGACGTGCGATGGATCAAAACAGGCACTTTATCGTCCGTTCATTTCCGACTCGGTTAGTTGGTGTTTCCCTCCGTGTCGCGACGCATTCTTGCCATTGCAGCGGTACAGTGTGGTGATTGGCGAGGACGGGAAGCTGTCATCAGGTCTGGGACCCCATCGTGCTGTCGCCCTTCCTTCTTTCTTCCTCTCTCTGGTGGTTCAGTTGTCACTTTTCGAGCCCAGTCTGGACAGGAATGGAAGTGAGCGAGGACAGTGGCACGGGCCGCCCGGGCAGGCACTGCACTGTAGTGTTCCAACAGTAGTGTAAAGGCATTTAGCGGCAGGCAGTGTGTGCAGCTGAGTGGGCTAGACTGCACCAATGGCACTGTAGCCCGTTGTGTGGTCGGTGCGGGGCTGCCCAGTATCCGTTTTCGATTGGTGACCATCCTGTCACAAAAGGAAACATCAATCTCCTTCCGCGTCTTGCACCTCCCACACAACCGATTGTTGCCGACCACTCAAGCCAAGTTACTCCAAAACCCCCTGGATCACAAGTCGGCGTTGGTATTGGCGGCACAGTATGGAGGCTACGAAAATCCGGGGAAATTGGAGAAAATGATGGGAACAGCGGCCCGCTTGAGACGACCCGGTCGGGGCCGGGGACGTCCTCCTTTTCCTTTTGCAGTTAAACTCAGGGATGCGACACTAATGGAACGACGGGAAGTGGGGTTTACGGCGGATAATGTCACTCCATGTCTGTCACAGCCCTGCCCTACCATCCGGAAGTTGCTGTTGGACTGGCGGTTGGATCTTATGTTCTTGAACCTGATGGACAAAGATCTCCACGGTGAAAGCTGGGGGAGTTGAGCACCTGGGTCGCTCTCTCGCTGCTCCCATTCCACGTGGAAAAGATGGATCAGTGGTAACCTCCTCCTACCAACGGGGCATTTTCCCATCATTACTACCTACGAATGCAGCCGTACTGACATGGACCACCTCACAGACCTTCCGAGTTCTCATCATCACTTCAAGATTGTGCGTCACAGCTCGAATATTTGCTCCAACCTCTTTTCCTAAACCGAATACGTCAGGCGACGGCTGGCAGATGCAGAGCTTGCTGATAGGTTCGTCCACACAAGTTGTTGGTCCGTAGCACAACACGACAAGTGCTTCAGCGAAATTAAACATGGCGTTTTCGACTCAATGCTGCCTCGCCCGGTTCACCGTCCCATCCACCCCAGTCGGATGAACATCCCTCGCTGCCGACATGGATTGGCGTCACCTTTGCCCACGATTTGGGCACCACGAGAGCTCCCCTGGCTCTATTCCAGGGACAAGCGAGCCATGCTCTTTACCCGTCCATGGGGTATCCGACGCGTCGAACGTTCGATAATTCCTGACTGTTGGGAATTGGGAGTAAGACTTCCTAATTACAACTGACGGTCTGGCCAGTCTCACAACCCTTCTCGGCAAGTCGTCACATGAATAAGCGATACCGACCGTGAGGTAGCGAGGGGCTCTACAACCTGCAAAGATGTATCAGGAATTGAGTTCCGTGTGCTGCACTCAGACTCGACAAGCTTTGTTCGATCATGGCGGACTAAAGGTTTGAGGAACGAAGACGCACAGACGAGGAGGATCTCGTGGCATGCAGCCCATGTTGCGCGATTGTCTAACTCAAGACTGCTAGTGCAGGTCATCAATAACCGCTATACACGGGACAAGAGATCATCACGATTGGGTGAGAGAATGCCTTCACCTGCGCAGAGTCTCCGCAAGGTAGAACCCGTCTTCCCCGCCATTCACATTACACCACTTCCAGGCATAGAACATACAGCAAGAAGTCTTGTTTGGCACAGTATCATTGATGAGAGGTGCCGCCCACTTGCGATGCAACGACGGCTGGCGACCCCGTCTTTTCACCGTTTTGTTAAAGTTCTGGATTATAGTCCAGTCAGACCTCGTACCGGCCCTCCACTACTGCATTTTTTCTAAATCAAATCAAGAATGACAACACACTTGGCCAAGTAAGTGAAGTTTGAGACAGACCATACCGAACAGAGATGAAATCCTTCCCAGGGGTCTATCAGTGGCCTCGCATCGTCAACTCATGGGTACCGGGATGTCACGACGATGGCTTACCCCAGAATGATCACCTATTCTTGCTGCATCCTTCAGCATGTCAATGCTTCCCCGACCCCTTTTCGCCTGGTTCCCGCTGGGGATCACACTCTAGATGCTCTGGGGATCCTCATATACTACTCGGAGATGGAACCCTCACTGCTACTCCTTTCTTTCTCCGATGTTCTGTCGTGGTATTCAACCTACTATCGACTCCAGTCTGATCGAAGGTTACCTCTACGCATACGTGTCCTAGTCTAAACCCAACTTGAAGTTGTCCCTGCTCAGCAGCCTTGATCCTCAACGTCAATGCCAACAACGACGCCTACGACACGAACGATCCGGGTCGAAATTGGGGGCGACCCCAACGAAAGGGCTCCCGACGAAGGAATGAACGTCCATACCAAGCCCAACCCAAACCCAGACAATGTCTCGGGGATTTACGAGGAGATTGCGGAGGTAGAATCTCCGCGGTTTGAAAGGGTTTACTGGACAAAGGAACCGCATTTGAGGAAGCTCTACGGCATGACCTCCTTCCTTCTGGTGGCATCGGCAACGACAGGCTACGACAGCATGCTTTTGAACACATCACAACAGATCCATGCGTGGAACCACTTCTTCTTCCCGGAGACGAAGCTGAACCCGGACCTTGCAGATCCGGTTGAGGATAGCAAGCTGGCAATCTTGATTAACATGTTCAATATCGGCTCAATCTTATCGTTCGTTATAACCCCATACGTGGCCGATAATTATGGACGAAGGCCCTCCATCGTAGCTGGTTGCATGTTCATGATCTTTGGGGGATTTCTAACTGGTTTTTGCAACGGTTACGGAAGTAGGTACCTACCTTTTTTTCTCGCCTTCTTCAGGGAGTTTACTAACAATGACAGTGTACATGGGTGGCCGGTTCCTCCTCGGTTTTGGCAACTCACTCGCACAAATGGCCTCCCCCCTCCTTCTCACCGAGATCGTCCACCCGCAACATCGCGGCCCCGTCACCGCCATCTACAACTGTCTTTGGAATGCCGGCGCGCTTTTGGTGTCGTGCATAGCATGGGGCACGTCCAACATTGCCTCCAACTGGTCCTGGCGCTCCATCACGCTCCTGCAGATTCTGCCCTCGGCCGTCCAGCTCGCAGGCATTTGGTGGCTTCCTGAATCTCCACGATACCTTATTAACAAGGAACGCCATGATGAAGCCCTCGACATACTCGCCAAGTGGCATGCCGGCGGTGATAGACTCAACAGAACAGTACAGTTCGAGTTTCGTGAGATCAAAGAGACGATTCGCATCCAGAAGCAGCTGGATGAGGCATCGAGCTATGTCGATTTTGTCAGGACCAAGGGAAATAGGTGGCGGTTGGCCATTATCATCTCGCTGGGTGTCATTAGCCAGTACTCTGGCAATGCCCTGTTCAGCAATTACATGAATGCTGTATACGGCGGGGCGGGGATAACGGAGCAGAGCCATAAGCTGGCCATCTCGACGGGGAAGATCATCCTGGATCTGATCGTTACCATCTTCGCCGCGCTGAATGTCGACCGGTTTGGACGCAGGCCGCTGTTCTTGATGTCGACGTGCGGTATGGTCGTGAGCTTTGCGTGCTGGACGGCAACGGGCGCGGCGTATGAACATAGTGGGGAGACAAATATGACTATTGGCTATACGCAGTTGGTGTTCATCTGGATCTTTAGTATCTTTTACGATATTGGGTTTTCAGGACTGTTGGTGGCATATGCGCTGGAGATCCTGCCGTTTCATCTGAGGGCGAAAGGCATGATGTTGATGAATATCACGGTGCAGGCTGTGCTTGCCATCTCCAAGTGAGTCCTTTTCCTTTTATTTCTTTTCACTGCCCAGGGGCACCCTTCCCTTTTCATCTCATCAAGACATTCCATTAATATCACTCTTGTCGCTCCTTCCTTGCGCTTCCTGTTGCTTTCACCTAAACACTGTTTCTTTCCTCTATCAACTCTGCATCACCACCCTCCACTACCCGCTCTGCTTCTGTTCCCGCTTTTCTCCCTCTTTTGCCGCTATGCCGTTCAACGGGTTGAATGCTAACTCCTCCAAGCCAAACCAACAAATTAGCCTGGGATAATCTCCCCCACCACTGGAACTTTACTCTGTTCTACACTATATGGAACTGCTTGGAACTTACTTTTGTCTACTTCTTCTACGTCGAGACAAAAGGCCCGACTCTTGAAGAAGTCGCACGCATCTTTGATGGTGTTAATGCCGTTGGACATATTGATATGCGACAAATTGAGAAGGAGATCTACCACAAGGGCGTTTTGGGGAATCCGTTGGAGAGGGATCGGGCGATGCATGGTGGTGGATATGGTGGAATTGAGTTGGAGGAGCAGCGGGGACAGTGATATGAGGGCATGCGAGGCAGAGCAAAAGTGGTGGGTAGGTATGAATGAGAGAGGATGTAATGGTGAGATGTGGTTCAAGAATAGACCGGGGCCTGGTCACTAGGGTGTCCAAAAACACTGAAACTCACTCAGAAGCATACAAAGGTCTTGAATCTGAATAGGATCTCCATAGAACCCTTATATTGAGACCTAGGGAGAGCAGGTTTCATACTCGATCATCATCACCCCCTCCACCCACAATGATACTAGGAAAGCTTGCTCTCCCCGACATATCTCCCGCAAGCACCAAGCTGGGTCTCCCACCGCCAACCAATGATGCCCTCGCACTCACAGGCTGCAAAAACTCTCCAGTTGAAGCCCCAGCATCTGCCCCGGCCATCGCGGCCCCCTGGCCAGCAGCCTCTTCATGTTTCCTCCGTCTCCTCGCCGCCAAAGCAGACTCGGAAGTCGAGCCCATCTCCTGCTTGAAGATGATAGATTTCGTCCCCTCGTTCCTTCTTCTCCTAATGAAAACCCAATCCCAAAGGCAAGTAGCCATCGATCCGGCCCTCTCGACGCTATAAGTCCGGGTCATCGTCAGCAACTTGATGCCGAAGGGGAAGGGGAACGGATGAAAACGAACATTACAACCACCGCCAACGCCCACACAGCTGTGTCATACTCTGTCTTGAACACAATTCCCCTCACGGTTGGGATGCCCACTGCGCACATGACCAGCGCAACAGCATCAAGGACAGCGATGGTTACCGGCGTAGAGGTTTGTGACATCCTGGCAAAGAGGAAGTAAATAGTGCCGAGGTCTGTGATGATTGCTATCGCCGCCTGTTTCTCGCTGTTAGTTATCATCCTGCAACAGGCGTGGTCGAATAGGAGCTGATCAGGGAAGGAAAGGAAGAGAAGGAAACCTACCCCGGCCATAATAACCGCGTATGTTTTCTCCGGGTATTCTTGTCCCCATTTCGCCGCGATGAACACGGTGAGGGCGAGGAGAGCGGCGGAGGTGAGGAGGGTAGAAAGACGGAAAAGGTACTGAGTCCATTGAAGGCTGCCGTACGGGGATGGTGGCTTAGGCGGTGACAATGCTGTCTGGAGGTCTGTGGTTGGCGTTTGTGCGTGTTGGATCTGAAGGGTTGGAAATGGCGTTGGTGTTGTTGATCTGGAGTCCATTTTGTTGGACTTAAGAAGCCTTGATAGAACGCCGTTGGCCAAGACTTGATAGTGCTCTAGATGTAGGATGACTGATTGCCCGATATGATGATGTATCGTTGGTGATGAGGCTCTGGAAAAATGTTAGCGTTGGGCCTGCGAGAAGTCCAGTCATGGAATTGTAGATTCGTAAAACTTACCTCATATAGATGGTCAGAGGTATGCTTTAACATATTTAACAGCCGCCACTCGATCTTTTAAGCGCCTCTCAAGCATTTGAATGTCTTCAAAATGTAAGACCAAGCTCCGCAAGCTCCTCTCCATCACCGCTCTGTTTCGTCTCAGTGTCGATCTTCGACCGCCAGTTCATTGACGAGTGGAGGACGCCCAGCCCTTGTCTTGCGTCCGTAATCCCAGACCGCTCTTGCGGAGAGACTCCGGTTCGTCCATCGTGGTTCTTGGTTGCAGTTCAGGACTTGAAAAGGCCGACAGACCATACGATCGTGTCGCACGACACGTTGATCCGCCGTTGGGCGCGACCACTCCAGACCTTCTCACCATGCAAGGCAACGCAAAGGAGCCGACGTGAAGAGCTAAATTGACGTCTAGAAGACGGGAGTGTGAAGAACCGAGCTGCTTAGTCCACCTTCTATTGGGCAATGAGAGGAGACCTGAAGATACAGCGCTAGCATCTACCTGACAGGGGCAGAGTTCCTCCGCTCCAGCCCTAAAAGAGCGCTGATCGGCGGAGCATGAGGACCCTGTCACGTCTATCTCGGCCTCGAGTAGTGTAGGGTCTGCAAGGTCGGGGACTAGACTTGTTGATCTTGGCGTTTGTGGGGAAGGTGATCACTGGGGAAACGCAAAGTCACCGGTTTTGTTATCGTGGGGTTTTGACAACTCAAGCTCGTAACATCAATAACATGATAAGCTTCCAGCTGTGGCTTGATCTGCTTCAAGTTGACCTGAGCCACGAAGCATCCCATGTGCGATACCAGTCTGAGTGCTGTCTCTTTGGCTAGGCTGTTCCCATTTTCATGCATTGAAGTGTTAAGATGAACGATCGCACTTGGAGTCAGCATCAAATCCAAGGACAGTACAGATGTAGGTCGGCGATCGGTCGTAGACTTCCATTCTCTCATGACCGGGAACGAAAGATTATTCAGTGACCAAAGCGGACCGAGTCTCATTCCCTCCGATGCCATGGGAACAATGATAGCATCGTTACCGCAACCATAGACAATTGAGCTGCTCAATCTCAGGACGCTATCATGACGTTTATCGTGCGTAGAGGTTCAAGGCGTCTGTGCGTCAAGTCCAACGTAGCGGCTTCAGTAGGAAGACTGCAGGCTTAGTGTGCATCTTCACGTCCTTCATTGACCGTAGTTCACCGCGGGGCTGGTGCTTGAGCTGTTCCCGCGGTCGGACTTGATCCCCGACTTTTCAAGGTTGATGGTGGATGATACGGTCCTGATCTGGATATTGGAGCGTACAATGGCGGACAGTAATCACCACTCCAACGTCATCCCTATGACAGCATCATAAAGCCCATCGACGCCCGTATATTCAAGATCCCATAAAGGTTGCGACATGGAGATGCTTTTGTCGCCAACCCTCGCTCACTCTTGCCTGACTCATGAGCTTTTCAACCTGCCCCAGCAGACTGTGATCAGTTACCACCTACTTTAGCCGCCGTCAGCAAAGTAACATTGGCAGAAGTATCAAAAATGGACTCCGCAGGAAGAAGGCGTAGCCCCGACACAGTCCAGCGCCTCCTCCGAATATGGCTTTGGATCAATGATGCCCTGATTTTGGCCTCCTCGGCCATTGTCACGGGCATTTTGGCTCACTTCATCCGCAAATACCATGAGCGCGGCACGCACGTCATCTTTGAGGAGGTTATCGTGAGTATTCCATTCTCTCGAGTCCCTTGCTCGCCTCCTCCAGTACAAGTGTCGTCCTTGCCCGGTTCATTGCGCATATATTATGTATGGCGGAAAAGAATGCTGATGACGAACAGGCCGTGGTAACCCTCTTTCTCTACCTCTTCGCCATTTTCGCTCCAGCTCTCAAGGGCTATCGCGGTTACCTGCTGCCGCTCAACCTCGCCCTCTCCTATCTATGGCTGACCAACCTCATCTTTTCTTCCCAAGACTATAGCGGCCACAGGTGCCACTACTACAGCCCTGCGTACGTAGGGCACTGTCGCTTGAAGCACACTGTGCAGGCTTTTAATATTGTAGGATTGTAAGTCACCCCTAGGTCGATAATTTGGCAAGAAGTGAGGCTGATATGTCTGGACAACAGCATTTCCCTCCTCTCAAACGTCGTGGCCGACAGTCTGATGTGGTATCGCTGCTGCGGTTCTTCTCCCGGTACTGCCGGTGGCCGTGTTGGCAATGGAGAGAAGGGTTCAGCGCCGTTGACATCTACTCCTGGGGCTACAACAGGTGCTCCCACTGCGCCCGATGCGGCGAACGGGACTCGTGTCTAGATTCAGATCGTCCTGGGTGTGGGCAACGGGCTTTGGTGCTGCTGCCGTAACATGTTGTGCTGCCCAATGACGCCTGGTTTCTTTTCCTTCAGAGGGGTGAGGCTCGAGACTGTAGCGATGGGATATTGGTCAATGCGGGTGGATCGTTGAAACAGTGGCTACGACACGGAGCCGGTGGTAAAGAGAGCGAAGATTTCGGGCAACGATTTGGAGGAAGATCATTCGTTGTTGAGAAGTGTTTGAGTGATCATGTCCAGTCGACGTTGTCAGCGAAGGCATGCGTTGAGCCACGGGGAGGACTTGATATCGGAGGGATGGTGGCGGGTGTAAAAGAACCTTTTCTTTTCTCTGGGTTGCTTCCATTGTATATAATGCTTAGGGAAGGGTACGTTACCCTGTTGTTTGTCAACTCTGTTCTCGATAATGTTAACTGTGAGACCTGGCCGCAACCATAGCCCTGATAATTGAGCCGATAAAGCTTCATTGGGTGTACTCAACTCGACTGGGGCAGCGGATCGGAGTTTCGTGGGTCGGAGTCGGAGAGGAAATGTAATGCCCCACTTGACCGGTGTCATGGCCGGCACTGATCAGAGGTTTGTCGTCCGGGTTCCGTAGCCAACCATGGCCGCACGGGAGCACTTCATGGGGCCATTCGTTGTGATCAGCATGGCGGCATCGTCAATCCTGAACACGGTTGCCCGAGCGAACCAGTGGTTCATCCCAAGATGGCAGGTGAGAGGCTGAGAAGCTGAGGTTCTTTGATTGCATAAATAGAGATGGCCAAGTCCAGAACAAGAGCGCACAGGTAGTAATGAGTGGTTTAAATGAGTGCCAGGTGGTCTGACGAACTGAAGTCGCCTGCTTCGGAAAACGAGACTCGGTGTGGCCACTGGCCTCAGTGGGAGAATGGCAGGTGCGGATGCAACACCCCGGAGGCCGCATAAGGAAGGACCCAAACACGAAACGGGACACCTTGATGGCCACGGATCGGATCTGGTGGCTCTGAATGGCTGCCTGAATCTGGCGGCTGCTCTGTCTTTTTAGCGAATTGCAATGAGTTGTCCGGGTTCGTCTCAATCTCCCTCGCTGGCGACCCAGAGTATGATGAACAGAAATGGGAAGGTGCAGAGTCCTTGGTCAGCAGCCGCCCGATTCCCGTCCATTTGACAGGTCGTCGTTGTCACATCGTCATGGCAGTGAGGCGTCTGGGCCGCGTCAATTGACAGGCATCGAGAAAAGCACCTCCGTCTAGGTACACTACGAGGAAGAGTGCACGGGCCATATCCAACCTGAGCACGAGCCAGCGGCGTCGGCAACATTCCGACAGCCCTGTTTGTAGGTAGGAAAACTTCACGTAATGAACTGCAGCCGTCTTTTGTAGCAGCCGCTGAGGAATGACTCTTTTGCCTTGGCTTGTACTAGTCCGTAGAGCGTAATGGCCCTCTCACCAGCCTGAGTCGTGACGGACAAAGACGTTTGCCTAGAGATGCATCGTTGATTCGTTTCCACAAGCAAACCATTTTCCCTGGGAGCAAGAGTGGTAACAATCCAATGTGACATGGGCGTGGTGTGCCTGGTTCAGTTGTTCGTCTGAGTGACCAAAAAAGTGTTGGGCAGCTTCCCATTTCGTCACTCTTTCCAGGGAGAGAACCGAGATCGGAACACACTGACCGGCTGCACCTGTCGTCCTTCTGCATTGGGACGGGAGGTCGGATTCGTGTCAATCGACTTGCCGATTGGTGGTTCGCCATCGATGCTGCCTGCCCGTCTTACACAAGACGACGACTTGCAGTGTGGCCTACGTAGACAGTTGACGACAACCTGAACTTTTCCATTTGAGAGGGAGGAGCTTGTTGACCAAAAGGAAACGCGTTCGGTGCAGTGGAGTCGACCCCTCTGTCAGCACCTAGGTCACCATCGACCCGCGGATGATCCACTGGACCGTCGCAATCCATTTCCGCGTGTCCACATCGGTCATCGGCCCCGTGTCCAGGGCATCCCGCCAAAGCTCCTCATCCAACCCTCCACATTGCATCCATCGCTCGCTCAGCTCTTTCCGCCCGTCGGCTGCCCGCCCGGATTGCAGAGACAACCTGAACCTGAACCCCGGCGTCGCATGGATCATGGTGTTGTTGATGGCTTGCCGATGACTCCTTCCGGGTCTTGTTGACCTCCTGGTCCGTCCGTCCGTACGACCGCGTACAACTGAACCTGGAAGGTACAAGTGTACTAGTACTTCCCTTCCAGTACCTCCTGCCTTTTGTCAACCTCGAGTCCGGTCACTGTTCGTTGCTCCCTCTTCCAGTTTCGAGTCCAATCTCGTACTCGAATTGCACATCAGACACCACTGAAGAACTGACAGGATGCGGCTCCGGTTCCACATACTATCATTGAGAAACTCCCCAATTCCACCTGTTAGCGCCGCCGCCGCCGCTGCCATTGCAACTCCCGTCGGTCTCCTTCTCTCGTTAAGCTCAACACTATCTTAGGAACCTTTACCAGCTAGCTGCCTCTGCCCCTTCGCAACATCCCGATCTGTGGTCCGAACTACTCGCTCATCCCATCCTCCATCGAGCGATCCTCTACACTACTTGTCGTATCGCCTTCCTCGACAGCTTCCGGCTTCGATACACGAGACTCGGAAAGACCATGGCCGCGCCCGCGCAAAACTCTACCGTCTCTCTCGAGCGCCTACCGAACGAACTGCTACAGCCCATAGCCGAAGCCCTCGTCCCGCAACCTCCATTGACCACCCGCTTCGCCCTTCGTCACGTCGGAACATGGGCCAGTCAAGAAGCAAAGGACCAGCGGGCGGCATGGCATCTCGCCCACCGTGAGTTGCTTACCTTCGCGCAGACCTCCCATCGCATGCTTGCCGTCGCCAGACCGCTTCTGTGGCGGAATATCCTCATCTACAACGAAAGGGCGCTCGTGTCACTGTATCTGCGCATGATCAAGCATCCGGAAATCAAGCCTTGGATTCGCCACATCACATGTATGGCCAATATCACTGGCACCAAGCTGATCATGGGGATACATCGAGAATGGGAAAGACAAACTGGAGGTAGGATATCTGGGTCCCGGTGCTTGGGTCTTTGTTCACCTTCTGACCGCCGCCAGTGAGATGGCAGGGCCAACCCGGCGCCAGTCCCGCTTCCATCGGCTTGGAGCTCCTCATGATCATCATGTGGCACGCCCCCAACCTAAGAGATCTTCTCTTTGCTTTTCCCGACCACCCCTTACCCAACCAGGAACTCCAAGACCCCACCGCCAACGATGTATTACTCCCAGCCTTCCGCGCCACCATATTGAGCTACATGAACTCCCCCGAACCCGTCAACCATCGACAGACCTTCGTCGCGCGCTACTTTCCCTTTCATCAGATGCGCAACCTGTCTTCTCTGCGCATCTACTGCCATCGAGACGAACAGCCTAGTCGAGATGCGACTTTCCCTCAGCTGCTCTCACACTATACCATTGCTTGCTTACCTGATCTCAAGAATCTCAAGACCCTCGAGCTTTGTTGCTCCTCGGCGTCGAACCTTTTCTACGAAGACATGACGATACCTCCGCTTCCCCAGATTCAACAGCTTCGTCTATACGGTAGCCGCATCCATGAGCCGAGGCTGATTGCGCTATGTCTGGCATGTACCAACCTACAGGATCTACTTGTCCATTTTGAAGAGAGCACTACGGACGATGACAGGGATCTTTTGCCCGATGGGAAGACTCTTGACGTTGCCCTGACCGGTCTTTCAGATTCGCTGCGCAGCCTCGAATTGGTTGCTTTGTCAGAGGGCCATTACCTTACGCGCGGAAGGGAACGTCCGAGGAAACCGGAGAACCACCGACTCAAGTGCATCCCACATCTTAGACGGCTTGAGAGCCTTACCCTCGACTACCGCGGCGTTTTCGGTACCCTGGGGATTCTGGAGGAAGATGACGGTGAGAGGCTGTGTCAGCTACTTCCGTCATCACTGCGTGACTTCACCTTGGTGTGCGAGTGGGGAACCGCTAAAGACTGGAAGCAAAGTTATCTTGCCAACCTCGACATGATACTGCACGGCGTAGCCTGCCTCTGCGCTACCCAGTCACCGAAGCTGTCAAGCATATCGTTGGCCATTCACTCATGGCCTGCAAAAAGCAGGTTCCACAGACGCTTCGGCAGAGAGGTCGAGGAAACAAGGCTGCGCTGTTTGAGAGCAGACATTACCTTTCGGACGTTCGACTTGTTCCCTTCGTATCAGGATGAAGATGATGTTGAACCCCTGGACGAGGGTGACTTTGAAGACGAGGATGGGGGGGACATATTACCCGAAATGGGCGATGGCGGGTTTGAAGAAGAGACCGAACTTGAGCTGGAAGAAGAGGATGAAGCATCCGAATACTATTTTTCCGGCGACGAAGAAGAGGATCCGGAACGCGAAGCACGGAGGCCTCCTACATTTGCGGCATTCATGGAACAATTGGGAGAGGACCATGGACACAGCTTCGATGAGCTTTTCTATGCGTACCATGAAGATCGATGGGATGAGTATCTATTCTGAGTATGCTGTTGCTGCGATCGTAGCCCGTTGCATTTCGACATTGTCAGATGACCTTGTCAGGAATCAGAATACCGAAGGGAAGAGCTGTATGATTCGGCAAGGACATCGGTTACCATCATCCAACTTCTCACCAGACAAAGACAGGTGTTTGTCTGTACCGAGCAGCATCGGGGTTGGGTCGATATCTCATCACCGCATCAACCCATTCGGCAGACATAGCATTGCCTCGCCGCCCTTCTTCATTTTTCGGCTATTATCCGATGGCAAGGACTGCCTGGACCAACCACACCAATGTAACGATCCATTTTAGATTGGCTTTGTTGCGCTCCCTACAAACTTGATACCCCAATATATCGACCTTCGATTGCGCAAGCTCCTTGCTCTCGAACCTCATTTCTGTGACTGGTTCTTCTTCTGCCGCTTATGCACCCCAGTCCATATGCCTGAGGATATAACCTGTACGGTTAAATATTCGATTTGGATGTACACCACAACATGCGCCACTGTCGAACTGCTCTTCGAGTCTCGAGCAAATGAGCATTTCTGCCGTCCTAGTAGCCCGTGTCAGCAAAACGACTGCGGAAGGTTGGATCTGTTGGAGCCGTTGCCCTTGTGTGCCTTGTAATTTTCCTTCACCTTGCTTCTCCACCACATGTTCCCTCTCTTTCCTCCAAGCAACCAACCAACAAGGTGGGCGAATGCTTTCTTTGATTGCTTTGTTCAGATGTTGACCCAAATTATCCAGGAATCGGGAACAGCAAGTATACATGGCCGCCAGTGTGGTAACTCATGATCCTGTTTGCAAAGTTGAGGCCCCAGTCCGTCTCCAAATATTTCTTTCTCTCGCATCCCCCGTCATCACCAACCTGGGAAGTCCAAACACTGCACTGCCAAGCCTCTTCTTCCTCATATCACCCAGATCCAGCCATGGTGACCATGAGTACATGGCCTTGGGGCCTTTTAGTCACGACTGGCTATCTCCTCAACCTCACATTCGCAGCTCATCCCTTGACCACCGACGCCAACTGCCACTGCTACAAAACCAACGCCACCTCCACAAACTACTTTCGCCAACACAAATTCTTTGACTTTCGCAACCTCCAACAATACGCGAACACACCGCCAAACCCAATTTCCACATTTGAGGGAAATGCGGCCGCTCCTCCCACATCTTCTTACTTCGACTCGAACCAATGGAAAGACAACTGGGGCATCCAGACCTGGAACAACACCGAATTAATGCGCCTCAACAACACCGACGTCAACGACGCCACAGTGCCAATGATCAACTCGTTCAACAACATCTACATCGAGCGCTCTTCTGATAGGAACGCCAATGGGCAAACATACTTGGTGATGCGAACAGTTCGACACTCTTTAGACGGCCCTTCCACGCGCTATGGCTCCAACTCAAGCTCTGGCTTTCAAAGTTCTGCCGAGTTCGAATCCAAGCTCACCTCCTACCAATTTCTCTCCCTGCGCATGCTCGCCCGTACCCGCGGTTCTCCGGGCGCAGTAACCGCCATGTTCACCTACCGGCCTCCTCCTCAGCCTCAGCAATTGGCGCTGGTTCAGGAAGCCGATCTGGAGATTCGCACGCAGGATCCGCCTAATTTCGTCCAGTATACCAACCAGCCGGCTTGGAACAGCACTAGTGACATCAAAGAGGCGACGAGGAATGCGTCCATGCCAAGTGGAAAGAAGTGGAGCGACTGGGCATTTTACAGAATGGATTGGACGCCTGGGCAGTCAACTTGGTTCGTGAACGGTGTGGAGGCTAGCAAGATCAACTTCCAGGCACCAAGGGACCCGAGCCAGGTGATGTTCAATGTCTGGAGCGATGGTGGCAGCTGGTCAGGTATCATGGGGCAGGGTGGGAAGGCGGAGATGCAGGTGCAGTGGATTGAAATGGTTTACAACAGCACAGAGGTGTCTGGGCCTGTGACTGGACCGTGGGGAGACAAAAAGGGCTGTGCCAATATTTGCAGTATTGACGAAACGACTCAACTGGGCACTCCGGTGCTTATTAGCAATCCAAACGGTGAGTTTTCACCCCGTCTCACTCAGCTCCCAACACAGCCGTATCCTCTTGCACTTCCATTTCACCCCGTCATCATTCCCATAGCCCTTCCTCTCTCTATCCTCAGTCTCATCACCCAGCTTACTCTACTCAGCCTCTGCCCCGTCCTCCTCATCCGCTATTTACTCATCTACTTCTACTTCAACCCATACCGCATCTTCTCTCTCTGCCCGTTGTTATGTCCCCGTTGCCCTTTGCTATGCAGAAGCGGTACTTGTTCTACTCTGGATGTTAACAGGTGAATAGGTGGTAACACGCCCGCCAACCCTCCAAACAGCTGCACAACCGTCAAATATGGCCAGTGCAACGGAAAGAACTGGAATGGGTGCAAGACTTGCGCCAGCGGGAGTGCGTGTCGATATCAGAATGATTATTATTCGCAATGTCTGTAGGGTAAGCGTAGGCGTGCGAATGTACACAGTCCGGTACTGTGTGGTATAGGAATGAATTGTGCTTCTTCTGGCTCGGAGACGACTAAAGTCGTTCTATCGGTAAAATTGTGAGTTTGATACCTACATTTATGCGTTTTTCATGTCTGAGGAAGAGAGTGAATCTTAGTTGATATGTCGTTGAGCATGATGTTGATGTGTGGAATGCACTTCTTCTGGATCAATGGAGCGAAAAGGCGTGTTTAGGCCACTAACATCTACCTATCCTCGGGTATTGCGCACAAAACTATCAAATCAAAATCTAAGCCGACTTCTTCTCAACACGTCCCCAAGTCTTATTATGCGGCCACTCCACCGTCTCAACACCACCCCTCTCCTCTTTGCTCGTCAAACGATCCCTAAAATCCCGAAGGAACCTCCAATGTCCCTTTTGTACCCACCCCTTTTTCACAAAGTCGTTCATCGTCGCCGGGTAAAAATCCACCACGTCTAACAGCGAGTCATCATGTGCAATTGCCACAAACACGTTATCTAGTGCGTCAGGCTCCTGCAACTTTCCCGCCGTATCGATCGTCTGCTCCACATCATGATGCCAGGCCTCTCCCCTCGCGGCTTCGTAAAAGCTCTTGGTCGGTAGCTCAGGGTTGGGCAGCAGCTTCTGGAGCGCCGCGCCGGGGCATTTGCTGTCGCAACCGGCCGAGAGAGGAAGGAAAGGGTTGGGAGAGACTTCCTCGGGCAAAGGCTTGAATTTTGAGGGTCGCATCTCGCCAACATGGTGGACGGCGTCGCCGCCTAGGCAGATGAAGCTGTCGTATCCATCTGTTTGTTGGGAGGTCACCCGTGCGAGGCCACACATGTGTCCGATGGCGTGGCCGGGGGCATCGAGGAGGTAAAAAGAGCCGTCACCGAAATAGTCGACTGCTGGGAAGCGGCCGATTTGCAGGCGCTTCCAGTTTTTGCCGTCTGAAGCGGCCGAGGTAAAGTCCACTTCGATCAACTCCCGGTCCTTATAATCCGCTTCAAGGATCGGCGAGTCCGGGTTAGTAGGGTACCCCGGCATTAACCCCTTCTTAAACCCCGGTCCGACGATCAAGGCCGCCTGCGGTCCGATGGTGGTGATATCGCCGATGTGGTCGAAATGGTAATGGGACCAAACCACCGCTTCAACTCTTGAAACGTCAAACTTGTTTTCTTTCAATATATCGGCAACGTTCTTCTCGGCTGACAACGTCCACCCGATTTCGCCAAAGTGGTGAAGCAATTTGGGAGGCATATTCTCAATGTCTTTGCGCATGCCGAGGTCGAAGAGGAGAGAGCGGCCGGTGACAGGGTGCTGGATGAGGAAGGCGAACATGGGGGCTGCGAGCCAGTCATGTCCATGTTGGGGAGGCGAGACGAAGGATTTGGCGGGCACGCCATGGAGTGTGCCGGTTGAGTTGATGATGGACACCGAGACGGTGGAGGGGGAAGGAGGAACGTTTAGATCTGGAGTGGGAGCCATGTTGGTGAGTTCCCTTTGGGATTGTCGTGCAATTGTCACGCTGTGATACTTGGGGGGGTGAGATGGTTGCATTGGTTCGAGAAGGGAGGTCCCGTTGTCTATAATATATGTGCCTCTACCTCTACCTTACAGTAGAGGTATGCATGTCTCCGTGAGGGGTCGCGGGATCAACCGGTCGCCCGAAAATGAGGAGGCGGTGCGGAGGTTTTGATGGGGGAGAGTTGATCATGAGCCCCTGAACAACTCTTGGCCGGATATCCTGCCCCGGATTCCAAGCTGGCGAGGTCTAGGATCGGCGTCCATCGATTATGTTGTCCATTCATTGGTTGACCCCAAGGTACGCCGAGGCACCGTCGACACTCTCGAGACATTGCATCCTGGAACGTCTGGGTTCCTCACCATTCACCGTCGGTTTGTCAGGTTGTCGGGTTGTCAAGTTGTGAGCCATTTCGAGACCCATACAACTTGCCCGAGTTTTCAAGTAAACCTGAAATTCGTTCGGTTTGGGGACTGGAGCTCCCATTCAGATGACGATACCTACCAGTATCAAAACCCTTTCGAACGACCAACGGATGATGTCAGGACTGGAACGTCGTTGGATGGTATTCCGGGAGCGTGGGAACATTTGAGAACATGATGTCCACGCAGTGACCGGTTCATTTTCAGCCACACCAATGGTACCTACATCATTGTGCAAGCCGCCGCCCAGTCCGCGTAGATCTGGGGTTACATGTAGATAACACGGCAAAGACGACATCCGACGGGAATGTGCATGCTCGCCAGATTGCGGCGAAACTTTACGTTTCAACAGCTCCAGCCATAGGTTCAAGATGAAGGAGGTATCTTGTGTTTCCAATGACGTTGTTGGGTTCATCTTCGTTCGCTTACCTCTGGGACACATGGCCACTGTATGTGCAGTGTACGTTCAATTATGTTACGTGAAGGTCTGCTCGGTTCACCTGCTAATGGCGGCGGGTGATACCGACCTGATGTTGTCCAACCGCTTCACTCATCCATTGCGTTCTTTCCGTCTGTGGCCGTCGTTGAGAATCCGACTGAGGCTGGCAATGGAAGATCCCGATGCGGGGTCGAGATCTCAAGGTGGGGTCGTGAATCTCGCGGAGTTACAACCCCTGTTTAACCCCGCCACGTGCCCACAAAGTTCGGCCGAAAACCATCCGATGAGTGACATGGAAAACTTTTTCACAGCGGCTACACATCTGCCCCCTATAGCAGCTTAGTTGTAAAACAATAAGCAATAAGGTCCGCTGGCTCAATGGCAGAGCGTCTGACTACGAATCAGGAGGTTCCAGGTTCGACCCCTGGGTGGATCGATTTTTTTGCTTTCTCGTGCATCCATATCCTCTCTTTTTGTCTCCTGGCCTTCATTTTCCACCATGTATTCGTTGTTCACACCGGTACGATTTCTTCCTCGACCAGTGGTTTCTGTCCATACCAGAAATACATCCACATATACCCGTGAATCTTGGTATCACCCATTGCCTTCTTGCAACCCTCTTGTAGTTCTTTCACTTCCTCTTCGACAAAACACTTCCTCATCGATGAGGTCGCCATGATAGCGGGTACCAACCCTTCCGTTGCTGCCCTTAGCAAGTTTCCAAGATTCTTCATCCTCCTGCCACGTATTCTGTCAGCTTCAACTCCTCTTCTTTTTCCAAATCTCTGTGCGCTTTGGGGGGCTGGGGATGGAATTGAAAGGGGGGCCCTTACTCGTCCCTAGGCCATGGGCCCAGCGGCACCCTAAACTGTCTACAAGTCACGTTGACGAAGCCGGTTCCCTTCATCATCTCTCCTATTCGGGGGGGTGATGCGGCAATCGCCGCCTGCTTGAGCCCAAGCTATGTGTGCCAAGTCCATAAACTGCGCGGGCGGATACGTGTCTTTTGCGGGAATGGAATTATCGTCAGACATGATCCGAGGGTGGAGGTCCTGCGTTTCAATCCAACCGCCTGGCTTTAAGTGACTTTTTGGCCTCGTGTTACCCTCGCTCTCTTTGTTCCACACAAGCAAGAGGATGAAAGCCCTGGCTTCCCTTTGGAAAAGGAAGAAAAAACTCACTCGAAGCATTTCCCTATCAGTCCTGCAGGATCAACTACCATGGAAAGTAGACATCTGGCATGTACGAGATCGTAATCATTCCTCTCTGTCTCAAAAAAGTTTTCCTCCTCATCCTCAATATCATCAACCCACCACTCCACATTCTCCGGACTCAGGACCGGTTGAATTGGGCTCAAATCCACTCCAACCACCTTTGCGAACGGGAACTTGTCGGCAATCTCTACTGTCCATTTGCCTGTTCCGCAGCCAAGATCCAGAATCTTGTTGAGGTTGTCGCCGATGGGGGACAGGAAGTGGCGGCCGTAGATGAGATCCAATGTCAAAAGGTGCAGAAGGTCTTCCCGATCCTGTTCGGGAGGGTCGTTGGGAAGGATGTAGCCGCAGGACGACTGGAAACCGTGGTAGCGGCGGCCGTAAGGGGAGATGTGATGGTGGTAGAAGGCGGGAGTTAGAGAGATGTGGGAGTTGTCTGATACTGTGGAGGCATTGTCATGTTCGGAGGCGTCATCATCTACCTCTGCTTGGGAGAAGTCATGAGGTTCGCCAAAGTGGATGAGTTCATAGTCTGAGTCTGTCGAGATGGTGCTAAGTCGGCGAACGGAGTCGGCTGTGAGTTGACCATCAGAGTCCTTAATCGGGTTATGACCGACGAGGATCAGGTCGCTTGACTCTGATGGGAGAGGCATATTGACGGTGGTCTAGGAAGGAATTAGTCTCGGCAGTTGGTGAAGACGATGACAGGGAAGTGGAGAGGCACTTGATCTCGAAAGTAGAGATCCTGGCTGAGGATAGTACTAGATATAGGTAGGGTGCCCCTCGCAAACAAAGGCAGGTCGTCCGTCTAAACATCAGGACCCCACATGGCATGCACGAGTCCAAGCTTCGAGATAACCCGAGGACCCAGGATTTGATTTTTGCATAGCGTCCGCACTGTCCGGTCTACCTGGTACATCGTGACATCAATAGCGAAGAAAAGGGTCCATCGAGGGTTCATGGCAATCGATGGATAAAGTTGAAGTGCAGCCGCAAAAGAAGCCTGAAACTAGTGTCTCGGGCCGCGGCATCCTTCGAACTGTGGCCCAGTGCAATCTTTGTCGGCCGACTAGTCTCGGGCCGCGGGCATACATGGGCGTGATAGCAGGACGTGTGATGATCCGAATGGATGGCTTGACGACAGTCTGCCATTGCTGCCGGTGTCTCGACTGGAAAGCAGAAACGTCGAGATAATAGGTATGGAGACGGCGGCTGGGGGTTTGCCAGGCCGCTCATGACATGCTGTGCCATATAGACCATGATCTCCAGACGCAACCTACTATAGACGATATGTATGCGGTTTGTGGATCGGTCACATTGTGAGGTCTTGGGTTCGCCTTGCGATACGGAACGATGTGGATGGTGAAGACTTTCCACTGCCATGTGCAGATGACCCAGTGTCGGCCAGAAATATTGGCGGAAAAGACAACAGCTTGCTTTGGCCGCTTTGCCGTCAAGTAGGTGTTATCTGGCTGTCACGGCCTACAAGCAGCAGAATTCGTCCAGTCAAGTAGATGCCGTGTGTTGGGTGGGAGCTACTGTGTAAGGCAGGAGTAGTAAGAACGAAGCTGGTGCAGCGACGTGGATGCCATGGAAGTTGGTGTTTGGTTCGAATCTCAAGTTGGGTGGGGTCCGAAATTGTTAGTGCAGTACGCTAAAACGGCAGGATCGGATCATCCAGGAATCACCCGCCCTTAGCGCAGTGGACCCTATAATTTGTACGTGCCGCGTGTCTACCTCTACCGGGCTGTTTCAACCATCAGCTTAGGTACACCCAACCCATTCACATTTCCTTTATCGTTTGCAGATATTCGGTTGAGCTGTCATTTTATCACACTTTTGGCTTGGTTCGACGTCTTGCAACCTTTCATTCTGTATATAGGTACCCATCTATCGTACCTACCTCACACTTGCTATGTGTCTCTCCATTCACGGACTCAATCAGAACCCACGCCTCAACGTCCTGCCAACACCCTCACCAACGCCTCATCAGTTCACCCCGCCGTCTGACTGAATCGATCAACCACCGCCAGTCGAATGGTATCCCGAGCTCGACCACCGTTAGCGGCACAATCAACATCCACCAAAAAGGCGCAAATGTCACTTGGTTCGCTTTTTCTTTCTGAATTAGACGCCGGCCCCCCATCCCGTGCACAAGCGCCACTTCGCACATGCACACGGCACCGTGCGCCATCGTTCGACTCTTGCACGCCGTCTTTATGTTCCACGACATGTCTCGATAACCCAACAGAACCTTCAGACTTGTCATCCACCACCAAGATCACCACCCTCAATCATCTGCGCTCCCTGGTGCCTCACTCTTACTGCATTGGCATCGATGTGGAGGGTATCGAGGGCATAGCGCAGGGTATCACCTCCGTGGGCATCTCCATCCTGCCACCCGTCTTCTCCCTCTCCACGGCATCCGCGGATGGCTCGTGGCCATGGCCCTTTCCAGACCACCACCAAGGGCAAATCGACCTCGACACCATCGCTTCTCACTACCGTCTGCAGTCTTACTGCTTTGCCGTCCTTGGCCGTGAGCGTGCCCGGTCCTACGAGCATTTCCACTACGGCGAGGTGGTCCACCACCCCATCACCCACCTCCAGTCCACCATTGTCTCCGTACTGCAGTCCATCCGCCTTCAGGACCCCACGGCCCATACCATCCTCGTGGGATTCGACATGGAGCTTGAGCACCGCGCTGTCAAATCTGTTTTCCCTTTGTTGGATGACCATGTCACACACTGGTGCGATGTCTCGCATACCGGTCTTGCGGATGCGAGATGGGAAGGTAGAAGGGTAGCGCACAAGACGCATCGCAAGATCTCCTTGCGGGATACCATGTTGGCTCTCAACTTCAGGCGTAACCATGGGATACAGCCCCGAGCGAGGCATCACTCGGCTGGTATGGACGCTGTGCGCACACTGGGAACAATGCTTGCGCTTCTGGCGAGGGCGCCAGAGGCAGGAGGTTTGGTGGTTAAAAGGTTTACGTGGGAGGAGCATGGGAACAGAAAACTGTGGGAATGGGTGCCAAGACCAGCATCCAAGTTCCCTTGGACAGTGAAAATTGTACCGGTGCCGACAGATGACAAGGACGGAACAGCGCACCTGCCAGAGTCCCTTGGCAGACCAGCCCGGTTGTTCAATTTCGTAACGAGGAACTTTGCGGAACCAAAAGCCGTAGCGGTCTGTCCCCCGGCTAGGTCGGGGCCGCTGAAGACACATGGCTGGGTGAGTCTACGTAATGAGGAAGAGATGAAGAGGCTCGTAAGAGACTGGGATGGGAAGATGATTGTCGATGGGGTTATGTTGAAGGTCGGGGGGAGACCGCCTCCTGAGAACCCCCCAAAGATCTCACTTGAGCACCCGATGAAAGCCAGTTCCAGCGTAAACGAAATGGTTAAAAGAGCTAAGTCAATGGCAGATGAGCTACAAGTTAAAGAGGAAGAAGCAGAGCGGGACTCGTTTCTCGCAGAGGGACTGTCCAACATGGAGCTTGATGACACTGGAGAGGTAGCTAGTGCGCTAGATTTCTTGTTCCAATCGGACAGTGATGACAGCTCCTCGGGTGATATATGCCGTACTTATTCCCCAATTGAAACGGACTGGAACAAAAACAAAACAAATTGGTGATGAGGTTCAAACGAGTGTCGGCGCGATTTGCCAGACGACCCTAACCCTTCTCCGGTGCCTCAATTGCTGCGCCTGTGTCCACTTGCCGGGGGGGCTGCCGCAGCACTGCTGATCCCTGCACCGTGACGCGAATCGCATTCTCCACCGGCGGTCTCCACCGGGCAGCACTTGCAGCTCCAAGTTCAATTGCGACAACTGAAGCGACGGGACTTTCGTTTTGCGATTCGGTTCGATTTCCATCTTTCCATCTTTCCATCTTCCGTGTCTCCAGCTAGGCACCTACCGATACCACTTCCACCCAAACCACCCCCACCGCAACATTTACTGGACCGCGATGCTGAAATCAACATACAAACCCTCTCCTGGTGCTCTTCCTCCCCTGCCACCAGGCTGGACCGAACACAAAGCGCCTACCGGGCACACATACTACTACAATGCCTCAACCAAGGAGTCAACCTACAAGCGCCCCGGCGTTACTCCGACTCCCACTCCTCCCGCCGCCGCTTCTCCGTTCGGTCCTCCGTCCGCTTCGCCAGTCCCCGGCGCCCATCCGCTTGCCGCGGCGCCAGCGAACCCCTCCATGAGCTACCTCCAACACCAATCCGTTCCCGCGATAAACCTCTCCGATCCACGCGTTGCCAATGCCCTTATGGCGCAGTATTCCCAGCAGTCCCAGCCTCAACACCAAGGCGGGCGAGGGGGTTTTGGAGCAGGAGGTAGGGGCGGTAGCCAGCAACAGCAAAGGCCCCGACCACAGCCCGTCGACAAGCCAAAAGCCAAGATCGCCATCCTCGGCTGCGAGCCGTGGTTCCTGGTATACACAAAATATGGGAGAAGGTTTGCTTATAATCCGGTAAAGAACGCGAGTTACTGGCGGATTCCGGACAAGATCTTGCCAGCAGTGATTGAGTTGGATAAAGAAAGGATCAGGAGGAAGGCCGCTGGGGAGCCACCGCTCGAGGAGGATCCGAAATACAAGAGCCATGATAAGGAGGAGGAAAAGGCGGAGGGGAAGAATTTGGGTTCGGGGCAGCAGGGCCTAGAGGAGACGCATGACTACGACAGCTCAGAATACGAAGAAGTAGAAGTCACCGATGACGAAGGCGCAGACCACAACGACGCCGAACACCCCTCCCAGCACCAGCGTACCGAAGACGAAAACCAGGGGCCGATCGAGTTTACAGAAGACGACTTTGCCGCTCAGCTGGCCATGATGGAAGGCGATGGTATGGACATAGACCAAGAATACGATTTTGCAGCACAAGCAGAAAATGTCGAGCCCCTTTCTGACGCCGACGCCCGCCTCCTCTTCCGTGACCTCCTCGCCGACTTCCGCATCAACCCCTACTCCCCTTTTCAGAAGCTGATCGACGAAGGCGAGAAGACGGGTGTCTTCTCCGACCCGCGGTACACTGTCCTCTCATCCATGCGCGAGCGCAGGGAAGTCTACGATGAGTGGTCCCGCGAGGCTATCCAAGCCCTGAAAGAAGCGAGGGCAAAGGAAGAGAAGAAGGACCCGAGGATACCATACCTGGCCTTTCTACAAGAACATGCGACGCCAAAGCTATATTGGGCTGAGTTCAAGAGGAAATATCGAAAGGAAGATGTGATGAAGGATTCGGCGCATCATAGGAGCTTCAACGACAAGGAAAGAGAAAAGTTGTACAGGGAGCATATCAACAGACTGAAGCTACCGCAGTCACAACTCAAGAGTGACCTGAAGAAGTTGCTTGAGAGTGTACCGCTCCGGCAGCTGAACAACCGGTCCTCAGTAGCCAGCCTCCCGAGCCAAATCTTGGCAGACATCCGGTACATCTCGCTCGATGCGAAAACGCGCGACGAATTCATCGAGGGTTACATCCAGGGTCTTGCCCCACCCCCAGAGGCCCAAAGCGCTGCGGAAGAAGCGGAGGATGAGGTGCTGAGGAAAGCTAGAGAGGAGAGGAAGAAGAGAGAGAAAGCGTTGGAAGAGAGGGAGAGGAGGGTAGAAGAGGAAAAGAGAAGACAAGAAAAGAGGTTAGCCGTTGAACGGGCGAGGCTCAGGGAGGAGGAGAGGGAGCTGCAGAGGGCTATGGTTGTTGATAAGAAGGGGCTGCAGAGTCAGCTGGGCGGTGGTGCTACGGCTGGCGGGGAGGCGTCGAAGGATGATGAGGCAAAGGAAGAGAGATAAGAGAGATGAGGGAGTGAATAAGTGGCCGTCTCACAAGATGGTATATACCCAAAATTGTTCATCAGCATAGCGCTCAGGAGTTCCCATCTTTATATCACGCTGCGGGTTTCCAGGAAAAACCAAGTTCCATGTATTCAACGGGGCATTTGCACACTAAACATGTGGGAGAAGGGAAGCAGATAGGTACTCATAAAAAATCATATACAAGAAAAGCCAAATTGGCATCAGGCCTTCGTGGCACACCGCTCGTCAAGTCATCCATCAGCCGCCATCACACGTCAACCATCACTGGTTTCATTGTCACCAACATCCACCATTCTTCACGCCCCTGGCCTAGCAGTCGACCTAACCCTCCTCGCCGTCGCCAGCGTAGTCGCTACAACCGTCATCGTCGTTTGTTCCCTTCCAAGCCCAGGAAGACCCTCAGGCCCGCGATGTGCTACCGCCTCCAAGTCCAGTTCCGATACCGTCCCATTTCCACCTTCCACTCCATCCATCCCCGCCCGCCTCCTCGACGCGCCCGCCGCATACGCCTTGAACATATTCAACACCGTCCAATACGCCGGCTTCTTGACATAATTGTTATCCCACATGCACGCCTCCCCCTCTGTGGGGATCTCGCTCGGCACCCACGAATACTTGTCGGTGAAATCCCACAAAGTCACCCCCACGCATTTCCTCCCTCCATACCCCTTGTTGACATCCAAGCAAGCGCCCACCACCTCTCCATAATCCCTCGCCTGCGCGTTCCACATTTCCCTCGTGCTCGGCACCTTCAGCGGGCTGTGTCGAATATCCAGCTCCGTGATGGCCACCTCATCCACCACCTCCAGGAACTGCTGCATGGTGTTGACAATCTCGGCACGGGCAGGGACAAGGCCGACTTTGAGGTGGGATTGGAAGCCGACGCCGTGGACGGTGCCGCCTTGGGCCTTGACGGTGCGGAGCATGGCGAGAGTAATAGAAATTTTGGGGCCCGGGGAGAGGGACGGTGATTCCAGGGCGTAGTCGTTGTAGTAGAGTTTGGCGCCGGGGTCGGCTTTGGCGGCGGTCTTGAAGGAGAAAGTGATGAAGTCGAGGCCCATGGCTTTGTACACTTGCGGGATGTCAGCTTAAGATTACCAAGGTATGGGCGGGATTGAAAGAGCAAGGCATGGAAAGACGTACTTGGACTCTGCCTAAACACTCCGTTCTCGTCGATGGCTTCATTCACCACATCCCAAGCATAACACCTCCCCTTGAAGTACTGTGCCAGATTCTGGATGTGTGCGGCGAGGATCTTTTCCATGTCGTCGCGGGAGTACGTCGTCTCAACTAAGGCATTATTCTCTCTCGTCAGTTTCCATTTGTTCTTCGCTCTCCTCTGCACACATAAGAGGACATACCCCAAGAGGGCAACCCCTTATACCACACCATGGTATGACACCTCAGCGTCTTCATCCCTCCCACCCCAGCTTTCGCCGTATTCGCTATAGCATCCGCTTCCGCAAAGGTGAATACTCCTTGGACCTCCTCAGTCTTCTTCCATTTCTGTGCATTGATGGGCGTCAGCGAGCCAAACTCGCCAGAGCCCTGAAGCACAGACATGTACTGCTCGTTATATAGACGAGGGTTGTCGACGGCTGTGCCGAAGTAGGAGAGGCCGGCGAGTTTGGCGTACTTGTCGAGCTGTGCTGAAGCCAGAGGAAGAAGGGTGGGGGCGAAAGCTAAGAGGACGAGGAGGACAGGGAACGAGCGGGGAAGAAGGAGGGAGAGAAAAGGCTGAATAGCCGAAAAAATGGTGGAGGTGAGCAGCTTCATCTTGATTAGTTGGAGGTCGTTAGATTATGGAGTGTATAGAGGAATCTAAAGGGCAGGTCCGAAAGGTCTACTGAAAGGCCGTCCGAGCGAGCTGTCCCTTACTTCGATGCCCGGATTTTGCAAGGAGTGAGCCTGGATGGAGGCTGGAAGAGGTGACAATGACAAGGGCTTGATTCTGGAGTTGTCTAAACGCAAGGGGAAAAACGGAAACCAGGGCAACCTAAATACCTGGAGGGGAGTGCCGGTGAATAGGCGAGATCAGTGAATTGGGCGGCCCAGGGTATCTCTCTAAGGTTCCAATGGAGGCTCAACTCTCATCTTATACTGTGACCTTCTTTTTCTGGAACGGGCAGACGTACGACAACCGAGAGAACGAGGAGGCAAGTGCAACCTTCCACTTATCCAGAAAGTCCAATGACCATAAGCGGCCCCCAATACCCTCTGTCTCCGCTCCTCAGTTGGAGTCACTCATCAGGACATATTTCTTGAGTGAGCATCCCTTCCCCAGCTCCAAGTCCAATGAGTTCAAAGCTCGGAGCAATTGCTCGGAAAGAACCGAGCAAAAGTATGAGAGAGAGGGGTAATGGGAGAGGGGCACCTCAGAGCCAGTCTCGGAAGAAGCTCGGAACTAGAGCTGACGGCGACACAAGAACGTCCTGTTCCCGTGACGGTGGTGTTCGGGGTGGTGATTCTGGTCTGGTGGGTGTGGTATTGAGCGGATGGCTGACGCCACGGTTTCCGTTCAGGAACTTGATCGATTCGTCCATGTCCTTAGATCTTAAAGTCCAGCGCCTGACAGAACTGCCAAGTTTCTTCTCTGTCTACTTCTGCGACATTGTCAAGGAAAAAAGTAATATGAGGTATCGAAGTTCGTAGATGTGGACTTCAAGGGAGCGAGTGAGCGGCGCAAGAACGTACCTAGGTTCCAGCCGGTGATGAACTCCGGAGACGGAGAGGTTGACCGCGTTTGAAGACATGGAGTAGTTCAATGACGCACTTGAAGACATTGTAGTTCCTGTGCCAAGATCTTGGGACGGCGAGAGACACGAATGGAGCCTCAGTCATACTACTGTAGGAACACTGGACTCCTGCGGCGTCAATCTATCGCTTCCAGACTTTCCAGTCCTCAGACGTTGGGCTCTACATGTAAGCTTCACTCATGATTCATCTGCCCCAGACAAGGCTCGCCCAAATATTGACCTGTCACTTCCCCAGATTTTCCCCAACTTTTTAAATACTCCGAGATCCCAACGGTCTAGGCCACGTTTCCACCAGATAGAGAGCGAACCACACCTCGCAACCATCCCAGTATCAAGTAAAGCAGTCGGATATAAGGTGCTGGACTCAAATCCACGGTGGTCATGACGCGTCACGAGCTTATGCTGTGTCTCCATGATATAGTAATGGTCTGGCTGACAACAATTCATCGCTGAGGTCATGGACGGACAAACTCATTGTTGGTTGATGACCGAGACTGGAAGGTTAGACAGTAAGGCCGAGGAAGGAGTCTTTGGACCTCAGAACTGACAGCAGGATCTTGCACTTTGCGTTTTGTCTGGTGAGAAATGTGACGAATGCCACTTGCAAAATGCCGATGCCAGTGCCCGTAGTCATCTTGTGACGAGCTAAGAATCTGCAATGTAGTCGTGACAACTTGGCTGTGTCACCTTCCTTGTCTATCTTATTCCAGTCCAGGACATTTCTTACTCCAGTCGACTTTCAAATTGGGTTGTGCTACTCATTCGGTTTTTGGACACCTAGGCCATGTGAGCGCTTCCCCTCCCTGAATTCTTTGTCTTCGTTCCTACAGCATTCAATAATCAGTTAGCTTTGTGAAACCAAGCCCTCATAACCTTCTCAAGCTTTCTGGCTTACAGATACAGTCCTCGTGGTCTTTCGGGGAGCATACGTAACTACACGCTGTCCCGAACAACCGGAGTGAACGTGATACTCGAATTCCACCCCACTTTGAACTGACTGTAGTGAGTAACCGGACTACCTCATCCGTCAGCAGTGGCGCACCTCCCTTTGACCATTTCAGACTTTCGGCTTCAATAAACATGGAATCAATCAATGCTCGACTACCTATCTGGCCTTCTTTTTCGTTTCAGTTTTCGTTTATTGCTCGTTCAAAGGAAGAGATGGTGTGAATGATAGAGAACACCCGAACCCAGCCGGAAAACTTGGCACTCTTCGACGCACAACTCTGGATTGACAAATCGATTGAGGCCGTTGTTATCGACATTAGCATTCGTCAAGTTTCCAATGGGGTATAAATTCTAGAAAACCACCGGTCTTTCCGACCAAGTCGCTTGCTCATGACACTTCTCCAGAAGACAACGAGAACAACCGCCTTCGCCAACGCCATCAAGCCTTATAATTATACAGCTTACGCCAACCAATCCCAAATCTTTTCAATTATGGTGACAGGAGGCTTATACTCTCTCTGCCAATGCTCATCCTCTGCATCAAGCGCCGCCTTTCCAGTCGTGAGATCGGCCTCCAATGGTTTTATGACCTTCGGTCGCTTGATAATCTTCCAGCCACCGTAGAGAAGGAAGAAGATGGGGATGCCAATGTAGGCAGCGATGAAATCTGTTTGCAATCATTATTAATACTTCTATTGAGTGAAGCAGGGACACGCCCGGGGATCTCCACGAGGTGGCCGCTACATAGGCGAAACGGTGACATGGACGAAGTCAAGGGAGACTTACCAGCGACACCCCAATTGCCTTTGATGAAGACAGCAAACCCGCTGAAAATGATAATGATAGCAAAGTAGATAAGCGCGAACCATGCCGTGTATGGTTGAAACCTGCTCTTGAAGACCAATGTATCGCGGCTAATGCCCTGAGCCTTTAGCGCCTTGTAGAAGCGAAGGTAAGCAACGCAGATCGAGCACCAGGTGAAGAGACTAGCGATGGTCGTTAAGTTCTGGAACCAGCTGAACGCCTTTGCGGCACCACCATTGGGATCGACAGAGAGGTAAGTGAGACCGCCGATGATAGCCGTGGCGGCAACGGCGTAATAGGGGACACCCTTCTTGCTGCAAGTGAGGAAGATACGTGGGGCCTGACGGTTCTGCGCCAAAGCGTAGAGGTAGCGAGAGCCGGTGTAAAGGAAGGCATTGCCAGAGGAAGTCGCGGAAGTCAAGATGACAGCGTTGATGATGGAGGGCAAGACGGAGATGCCAGCGTTCTTGATGCCGATAACCCATGGGGAGGCAGCAGCGTCGGAGCGGCCTTCGGCCTGAGCATCAAGGAGGCCCTTGTCGTTGGAAGACACAAGGACACCAATGGCGAGAGAACCCAAGACGTAGAAAAAGAGAATACGCCAGAAGACACGACGAACGGCCTTGGGGATGTTTTTGCGTGGGTTTTCGGCCTCACCAGCGGCAACGGCGACCATTTCCACACCGCCGTAGGAGAAGGCAGCGTTGACGAGGGTAGAAAAGAGACCCAGAAAGCGACCAAGGTCGCCGTGGACCTGGGGTGGATACTCTTTCATGGCGCCCGGGTTCTTCCAGTAGCGAAAACCAAGACGTTCGTGGCGCGGGTTTCCGCCAAGGTCGACAATGAAGGCCATGATGAGCAGGCCGACAATGGTAATAAGCTTCATAGATGCAAACCAGAATTCGGCCTCGCCGTAGAGGGAAACGGCAAAGATGTTGAGGAAAATGATGACAACCCAGATGATGCTGATCCATACGGCGACGTTGACGCTTTGAGCACCTTCCCAGAAGCCGATGACAAGAGAGGCGGCCGAGATTTCGGCGCATAGAGTGATGGCGGCGGAGTACCAGTTATTCCAACCGACAGCAAAACCGAGAGCATCGTCGACGTATCGAGCGCAGAACTGAGGGATAGCACCGGGAAGAGGAAGCCATGTGGCCATCTCACCAAGACACTGCATCATACCGAAAACAGCGAGACCGGTGAAGGTATAACCGAGCAGGATGGAGAGAGGGCCAGCGTGGGTGAAGGCATTTCCGATACCGAGGAAGAGACCGGTACCAATAGTTCCGCCCAGAGCAATGAACTGAATGTGACGCGACTTAAGACTATGGTTGTCGTCAGCGCCGTGATTGCTGAGACGAGATTGGAGTGGTACTCACCCACGACTCACGTAGCCATACCTGGCCGCTTCGTCCTCACCACCAAGGACAGCGGCACCCTCCATATAGGCATCGTTTTTCCTCTCGGACGAGCTGTGTCGTGAAGGGACGCCGGCCAATTCCGGGTCGGAAGAGTGTAGGTGTTTTTCCGCCATCGTTTCGACGTCGATGTTTGGAAGCGGGAGACGGTGGTCAGAGTAGCATCAGTAGTGCGACAAAAGACTGGCTGCAGGCGCAACGCGTCAGGAAGGAGGGAGATCTGGGGTATTATAAAGGACGGGTGACAAGAAGGGAGAGGGGGACGATATGTGTGTGCAAGGTTGAAGGTTCATGTCCCGTCCAGCCCATACCTTGTTCATCCAATATCCGCGTGCGTCCTGGACGGCATAGCTACGCACACTACCTAGTACTGGATGATGAACATGGATTTGCTTCTTCTTTGTTACACTTGACCGGGATCGTTGTCGGTGTCTCATATTGCAACCCTCCTATTGCCGGGTAGCACGCCACCAGTCTGCATGGCCAAATGTCCTGCCATATTAGAGACTGGCCAATGGGCATATTGGCGAGAGATATATTCACAGCATCGCTGTAAGACAGTCCCTGAGTACCACACTGGGTCGCCAACCGCAGCCTTGGTGTCCGCCTTCGATGGAGTCCAGCTGCGATGATGGCGTACGAGGCTGTGTGGGGGGTTGACTTGAAGATAACAGGTCCGTTTTTGGAACGGGTACGCCGTGGTTTGGGAATGGTCGACTGGCTGCCATGTCCGTCACTGGTCGGGAACCGGGTTAGTCCTTGGCCACCTTCACCCCACTGTCTCCAGAGAGCTTTGACATGATATCGTTTTTGCATCACACTGGAGGAGTTCAACGTGTAAGCGACAAGCGAAAACAGAAGGGAATTAGTAGTGCTTTTGTCCACTGGACTGTATATCGGAGGACACTTACCGATTTGGATTGCTGATCCGGCATCGTCTGCCAGTCTCAAAGTGCATCGGACGCATACCACTCTCCTGGGACACTCGGGCATGTGGTCTGGAGCCTCTGCCCCTGCTAGGTGTCAGCCCGCCCAACCGCGGAGTGCCATCGATGTTCCTCTTGTTGCCTTTGTTGGGTTGTGTGTTTTATCGTTCAGATGGCAGTGGTTATGGCAAAGCGACAGGGTAGATTTCGTACTGGAGTGACGCCGGGCAAGGCAAGGCGACGCAAGGCCGTTGATCTGACCAGAAAATGGGATCGGTCATCGGACGGGCTTCTGGCTAATCTGACAATTGAGGTGCTTCACTTGCCGGTCGATTGTTGGTGGGTGTCGCACTGATTGTCGGTTCGGTGATCGTTTCTGGAACACATGCCGTCCAGTCTCGTCGGAGGGTCGTCCACCAGTTGGCACAAACAGGCAGAGCGGGAACTGAAGAGAACACTCCCGCACTGCAGTGGGCTGCTCTGTCATTCGGTCCACGCACTCTGGAAGGAAGGAAGTCATCGTCCCAGATTGAGACTGCAGTGCCTGCTCCTGGGCTGCCACCCGTCGAACGACACTGCCTCCCACGTCCCCCGTCGTCGTGTCTTATCACTTGACGTCGCGCGATTGGTTCGAGTGGCATGTGAATGGTTCCCATCCGGGGAAGGTACGGAAATCCACTCTGATGCCAAGCTCGCCAAGAACCCCAGACCGGAAGGTGCGCTAAAACCACTAAACAAGGGCCCAATTAACCCACTATATCCACTGACGCCTCCCTAAAAGCGGGCGCTATTTGAGTCCTCCACTCTTCACTTCAGCCAAGCCGGGTGCCTTCTTGTCATGTGGATCCCATCTTTTGTCTCGATTTCATTCGATCCTTCTTTTATTCAAGCTTTTTTCCCAAGATGAACCAAGCCGGGACAAGACATGTCGAGAACGCCAAAGGCGATCAAGCAACGGGCTGACAAAGGGGCAGGAGCAGTTAAGCTTTTGGAGCGAGGGGACCATCGGTCTCATTTCCCTTTCCCAGGCAAGAGAGACGGGAGCAGAGGCGGGACTGGAGCACTCCATCCCGTCCTTTCCCAACGTTGTCGATTGGGCGACCAACATCCCGTCCATGTCGAGTCGATGAAACATACGTACCGTATCGTACGCGTTCCTTATCACGATCTTGTCCCATTTCGGCCACCGGTTCCCACCCCCATTCTTCCTCGCTTGTCAGCCAATGTCGTCGCGCTTCCCCCCTCTGCGCTCCCAGTCATGATAAGGAAGGAAGGTTGCTCGAGTTCGGATGGAATGTCTCCTTCTTTGGACATGGAATCGAAACACTTTCATCGATACTTTCCGAAACCAGTTCTAAGTATCGTCAGTTGGACCCTTCCGTCATCAACAAAGAACATTGTCTGCGTTCGTCCGAGGGACTGCCCGTTCTGCCCAGCCCGCCCGGTCTAGTCCACCCAATCTACCAATCCCCATTCGACAACCGCTTTGACCATTCAGATGAAGCCATTCACCAGATAGATTGGGTGTCATTGCGGCCATGGCTTGCATCCCACCCACTAGTGTACACACCTCCCTGGTCACCACGCACAACCAGGGGCAATTCCCCCATTCCATTTCTGCGTACCACGTAGCCCCCATTTGTTCCCTTGTCCTGCCTGCTTCTCGAACCGAAGTCCAGACTGAGAGGATCCTTCACCTGCTTCAACCCGTACTGTGAACCGATAACAGAAGCGAGCTGCGAAAAAAAGAAAAGGCAAACTGCCTTCTTCACACGCATCTCAAGATGTGGCCTTCCGTGTCTGGTGCACAACAGTTTTTGACACCTTACTAATTGACGAGAAATCTTTGCATTGATCCATACAGTCCCCTCAAACATGGTGGCATGGAGCCGTTGACAGCCTCCTTCATGCTGAAAGGCTAGTGCTTACCAGCATGTCTTATCTTCACCGTTCTGACCGTTCAATTGTGCGCACTTCTCGGTCAGTGGAACACAACCTTTCTTTACTGTGCCATCTGCCTACTTACGGGGCCCATGGTGACTGACTCCATTTCACTTGGACTCAACAGCATCGGGTCTTGGTAAACCTGTTGTTTTCACAATTTCATGAAAGCAAAGATTAAGTACCCAATGGTAGACATGACTTCAAATTTTGCACTTTACAGCCACTCGGTCTAACAAGAGCCTCAGTCACCAGCTGTTCAATCATGCCAAGCCCATCCGGAAAACGATGAGCACAAGATTTTCATGTCGGAGGCGAGGTTCAGGCGAGGTGCCACAGACACACGACCTTCCTGTCGCGTGCGTGGCGTCTCCCCCCTTCAAGGCTTCGCATCGAGGCAGACAGCTTCTGCTGCAACTCAACAACTCAGCTCCTCAAAATGTGACCTTGGGCTTACATTGAGGCAACCTCAAAAATAAGATTCGAGGTTCTAGAATCCTTCTCTTTCCCAGCTACGATCCCATGCAAGCAGTTTGGTCTGAACATGTTGGCCACCGCGGCCGACCCAGCGACCATTGCAGGGGTCCCACACGTACCATGAGCCACCATCAATGAGCCATTTCATTCCTCCATTAGGAATTTCGATTGGGTAAATGCATATATATGTTGCTCAGCCTGAAGTGTACCTCTGGGTAGCCGAGGTATCTTATGCCCACGGTTAATTGGTACGTGTGGAAAGCGGTCTTCGTAGAAGAATTCGCCCTGCATCTGTAAACCGTAGCGATGTGAGAAGGACTGGACGTTTCTGCTGAAGTACTTCAACCCTTGTGCCATCACATCACAAGGCTCCAAAGCCGACACTGCAACACATGTCGATTTGATGTGTTGAGATTGCTATATTTCTCTTGGCCATCCAGTCATAACCTTTCTACTCATTTCCTTACCTAACAGTGGCGCCATCTCCATCTCTTCCCCGGGCCAAAGGACCCTTGGGTTCACATTGATGGCTTCATGGCTTCACTTCCCCGTGGGGTAATACCGTTACAACCAGCGCTGAGGTGTCTTCCCGTGTTTGATATATGCCTTGAGGGAACATCATTTTCACTTGATGAATTCTGGTAGATACCGGCGAAAGGGATCAAAGGTCTTGCATATGGTACACCCAACACGATCATTTTCAGGGCCTCATCACATGCCCCGACTCTTCCACACAGGAGACATGAGTCCATGTCACCAACTTACAGGTACATGTACCTACTGTAAAGCAGCAATGGAGGTCACATTCGATTGAAGTGCCGGGAAAATTGCTTCATTTTTTGTTTCACTTCAAGCGCGCGATCAGTGTCTGTCAGGGCTCTTCTTCCGGCGGCCGCTTTCAGTAGTTCTTTTTCGACCTGCAAACGAATGCCACCAGCTGCATAGTACAAACCGACGGAACTCACCTTGATGGATTACCATGCATCTATTTTCGAGCCACACGGAGTGCCTAGAGATACTGGACAATGGGTGCGGTTTGTGTTCATGTTGAACGGTTTGAAGGGAAGTCGACCCTTCTTGCCGTCTGTCTCGAGGATCGAAATGTCTGATGTTTCGCCGCTGGCAAATTCATCTACTCAGACATAATGCCTGCCGAAACAGCTCGGAATGCTTGGCGTGCACGTGCGTACTCGATTGGGCCCGGGAAAAAAGAGGATATTGACCCTAACCCTACTTTCTGATAAGAATGTCAGAATAGGAGCGGAAACTCCTGTACTTATACCAATTATTGTAGGTCGAGAGGGGCGAATTCTGGTGAGGGGATTCTGGTGATTCTGGTCAAAATTGAGAGGTTTCATGTGTGTTTGTATTTGAATTCCTTCTGTCAACTTCTTCTCTCTCCGAAATCAGGCACCATCAGCTAATCAGAGCGCGTAGATAAACGTGTCTGATCCTGCTACCCGAGTCAAAGGATGTGGGGCGTGCGTGCTCCGCGCTACAGTACCTCTAACCACCAGACCAGGGGCAGCATTGATGTGTATTGCCCCGCCATCTCCCAATATGTCGTCGGAATAAAGTCAGAAGTACAAGGTGTATTGGCTTTGGAAATACCAAAACAATCCAGAATCAACAGCAATTGTCACCGCTAACACGTCGGCATGCGGTTCCGATTCGGCGCTCTCCCGGAGCGTTCGGCAAGTTTCCGCAGCGGGGGCTTTGATGATCTTCGGCGCTAACGAGCGTGCGACGGCGAAGGGAACTGGGAATGGGGTCAAAAGTGGGCTCGGCATTGACGCGTGGGAAATCGGACAGGATTTATGACGCCGTAGTCAAGCTTACAAATCGCTCTCGGATGCCTTTTTGAACCACTCCTTTCCCCTTTCTTCGAGTCTTTCCTCCTTTCACCAGGTATCACCAAACCGCTAAACACCACAAACAGACATCACAATGGCCTCTAACCCTCCCTCCAAGTGCTGCGTCATGGGCTTCCGCCATGAGTAAGTTTGACAACCAACCTCCCTACACCACTGTCTGGTCGCTGACACCTGTTTGCTTCCAGGGGCGAGCCAACTGGCACCATGACCAAGGTCGCCGACAAGTGGGACGCCTACATCGCCCAGCCCACTGGCTCCCAGAAGACCGGCAAAGCCCTCCTCTTCCTTCCCGACATCATCGGCATCTGGCAAAACTCCAAGCTGATGGCCGACCAGCTGGCCGCCCAGGGCTACCTTACCATGGTTCTCGACATCCTCAACGGCGACCCGCTCCCGCTCAACCGCCCCGACGACTTCGACATCATGGGCTGGCTGACCAAGGGCAGCACCGGCGATAACCCGCATACCAAGGACTTCGTCGATCCCATTGTGCAGGCCGGAATCAAGGCTCTGAAGGAGCAGTATGGAGCGACCAAGATCGGAGCGTTGGGATACTGCTTTGGTGCCAAGGTAAGCTCCGTCCCTTTCTCTTTTCTGCCCCCCACTGGAAGCGCTGGCCTTTTCCCCTTTCAGTTGCCAACAGTTACTGACATGCCCAACCAAAAGTCCCTTGTCCGCAACATGACGGCCACCGCCCCCTACACCGGCATCGACGTCGGCTTTGTCGCCCATCCCTCCTTCGTCGAGGAGGAAGAGCTCGCCGCCATCTCCGGTCCTTTGGCCATTGCCGCCGCCGAGACTGACTCCATTTTCCCTGCCGAGCTGCGCCACAAGTCCGAGGAGATCCTCAAGGAGACGGGTTTGCCCTACCAGGTCACCCTGTACTCTGGCGTCTCCCACGGCTTCGCCATGCGCGCCGATCTCAGCAAGAAGCCGGAGAAGTTTGCGAGGGAGCAGGCGTTTGCGCAGGCTGTCGCTTGGTTTGGAGAGTATTTGGAGTAAAGGGGATGGAGTAGATGAGATACCCGAACCTGGTTGGAGGTGTTTGCCAATTGCTTGCCCGGGAGCAAGCGAGAGGGCGAATATCGATCGTTGTTAATACGTAAATGTACGAACCAAAGGACGATTTGATGAATGTGAAGAACAAAAGTACAGTCGCATAAAGCCCACGCGCCCGTTTCCCTCCTTCATATCATGGCAGCTTCATGGTCCATCCACCCAACTCCATGCCTAGCTCCATTCCCCTGAACTTTAGAGAGCCTTGTGGTAAACTCTATACCTAGCCTTCCTCGCCAACAACGGCCCTAGTTCCGGAATCCCCTCAGACAAATCCATCTCCTTGACATTTTTATACCCAGCTCTCTCGTACCAACCGGCCAGCTTCGTCTTCTCCTCATGTTCCCACCCGTCTCCCACCACCAGCTCCACCTGCATCTTCTTCCCTCCCTTCTCCCTCGTCCAGTCCTCGGCGAACTTGAGAAGGTCCCTCCCCACTCCGGAACCCCGGTATTCAGGACGGCAGATCAGACATCCAAACTGTCCGATTGCTGTATCCGGGTCGGGGCTGAAATGCGCAGTGGTGCGAGAGTCGGCCTCGGAAGGAGAGGGGAGGAGTTGCACGCGGCCGCAGCCCAGCAGGTACACAATGCGCGGCGGCCGTGAGTACCCCGGGAGCCATGCGGTGGCTAGGGTCCCACTGGTGATGAAGGAGCGGACTTCGGCCGGGTTGGTGCGGGTGAAGGGATCGATGGACCAGAAACCGCGCTCGGCGTCGGTATAGATCTCATTGATAAGGTTGGTTAGACTGTGGACGAAGGCATCGTCTTCGGCAAGGGAAGCTGGAGCGATGGAGATGTCGGCGTTGATACGGCCCTGGAGAGGAGGACTGGGGAGTTGGAATGTCGCGACGGCCTCGTTGGTGTTGAGCATGACGACCTTTTCGTCGGCAAGGGGGGCCGAGGGGGCGGTGAAGGGCGACTCTGTTGAGGCCGTCATTTTGATTCAAAATTGAATGTGAGGTACTGTAGCGAGTGGTGAATTGCCTATGCTCGTGTGGTAAGGCCCGATGGGTTTTATATCTGGAGTCATGGGAGTGATAGCCCGGATCCTTTGCAAGTGACTCAATCCACAATTTCTTGGGCCGACCCTTGTCAACAAAAGGGCGTGAAGGCGTGGTAGGTCATATCAGTCACAGCAATTCTATTTTTAGCCGTATCATAGAGACGATGGTTTCTTGCCTGTCCTCGAGGCATATTCTCAATGTCGGTTCTCCGATTCTTCGCCGACGAGGGTCATGAAGGTTGAAAGGCGACAAGCCGACAAGGGGGTGTCAACCCTAACCCCAAGCACATGATGCTGCAAGGGGCCAAGACCTTTGAATTATGTGAACTGAATGATGCACAGACCGAGGCGGCTATACTCGCGGCTATAGTGTACATCTCTGTAGCTGAATCGGGATCCGGTGCAGGAAAAATAAATTACACCGATTCGAGATTTGATGTTTCAGGTATCTCGAAAGTGAATGTCGTAGAAAAACAACAGCAAAAAGCTCGGACTGACCAGATCGGGAATCGAACACAGGAGTGAAGGTTCAACTCAATACCGACCAGATGGCAGACCTACGGAAATGCTAACGCCTTTTCTGGACCCAGCGCACTACCACATAGGCTACTGGACCGTGGTGGAGGGTCTACACTTTGTTGCTTATATGGTCCCAGTACGTGAAGGCCTGTCGTCACTCATGGTATGTGGTAAAAGCATGACTGATGAAGCCACGTCTGCCACTGAATGGAAGTCGTTTGCGCAGTTAGGACACACCGAAGTCGATATCAGCGAAAGATAAGGAATGTTGCCGGGGAGCACTTTACAGGGGTCTCCAGCAGGTCATTAGTGGAGCTACCTTAACGGCCAGGAACCGCAACGTCATTGGCGCCAAGGCTGAACCACACGCCGATCATCCACTTGTTCTTTCTCGCTGTCCGCCTCGTGTCATTCTTTGATCTTTTGTCACGACAGCCGCCTTGCCCAACAACAGCAACATGAAGGCACTGGACCGGTCATAAAAGCTATACAAAGTGCGGTAAATACTCCGCCCGAACGAAAACCATGGATGGGGATACTGCGGTCCCAAATGGCGGACAGCAGAACGGCCACGGCGACGGCCACGGCCACGATTCACGCGCCGCCGTCTCCAGCCACGACACCAACACACAAGCACATGCCCCGATAGTACAAGTCATTGATGTGAAAGCAAGCGTCGAAGATGGCCATGAGCACTCCAGCACAGCATCCACCCATCTTCCATCTCCACACCTCACCGCAAGCGACCTCGCAGCTCGAGCTGCCCGCGACACCAACATGACATCCGCAAGAGTTACGAACGGCACCACGGCTGCAGAACATTCAAACGACCGCCTCACCCCCTTCAACGAGACATTGTCCTCTACTGGCCCGACCGAGCCCTTTGTGCCTTTTGTCCATCTGCCCACACCCGAGCCTGAGACTCAACCAGCCACTCCTGCGCAACCTCCCAGTCCCAGCCGCTCCAAGACCCGAAGCCGATCAGAGACAACGACAGGTGCTCAAAATGGAGTACGCCGTCTGTCCGCCTCCAAGATCCAAGAACTGACGAACGCCCCCGAGTCCCTACCCATTGCGACAGCTCCCAACCGCCAGCCTGCTGAGCCTACATTCTCACCCGCCCTTGCCGAAGTAAGCTCTAGACTCCAGTCTCAACTGGGACTTGCAAATGGGAATGGTCACAGCACATCGAGCACAAGAACACACCCACAAAGGCCTGCAATCGCCGCGCGAACCGTGTCTACTCCACCGGTGAGCAGGCGTCAGACGGCCACGGCTGCCCAACAAGCTCACCCAGCTCAGCAGGCCTCGATCCGTCGCAATTCGTACCAGCCGAATCCTCGACCGCCGCCTCTCGATCTCGATGGAACGAGCAACTTGAACACTGGCGCCGAACCCAGGACCGCCCCTCCACTGCGCCAGCCCGAGCCCGACCCGGCGCCCCCATCTCCCATACCGTCATCTATCCCTCTACCGCCCATGTCAGTCCCTACGCTTCTGCAACTCGAACTGGCTGGATCGCGACCGAGTCCTCTCTACATACACCACTCATACACAAGCGACATCCCCTACGAGTCGAGCGCAATCAAGTTTGAGCGGTTGAAGAACTTCTTGGTTCTGCCCTTCGTCCTCGAGCGATGCATAACCTTCGGTGCTTTGGCTTGTCTGGATGCTTGGCTGTGGACCTTCACCGTCCTACCTATGCGCTTTGGCATTGCCGTGTGGATTCTCCTTCAATGGTGGGGATATGTTATTGGCAAAGAAACTCGATGGGTGGTAGGATTCGTGTGGTACGGCTTGGGCCGCATGTGGAAGCGCGGCCGTCGGGGTCGGTCCGAGTCAGTCGCCAGTACGGATGGTCAGCGGTCCAGGAGTCAAAGTCGGGTACGGGAGCAGCCAGTCAATCACAATAGCACTGCTGCTACTACTACCACCACCACCACCACCGGCGCCGACACTCGTCATCCCAACCTCCGCATGGCTCCTGGGACTAAGCCCCCCGGTCCCAGTCGTCGTGCGAGAGGCTACCTCGGTCACCGCCGCACCAAGTCCAACCCGTCCAACCTGTCACACTACAACAAAGCCGACCTGCTCCAAGGCGCCGTCGTCATCTTCTCCTCCATTGCCCTCATGTCTCTCGACGCCTCGCGCATGTATCATTCCATTCGCGCTCAATCCGCTATCAAGCTGTACACCATCTACAACCTGCTCGAAGTGGGCGACCGTTTGTTATCGGCCCTCGGGCAGGACATATTTGAATGCTTGTTCAGTAACGAGACGTTGTCGAGGGATAGCCTAGGGCGCAGCAAGGTCTTGCTCCCCTTGGGTATCTTCTGTCTGGCGCTGGTGTACAACATCCTACATGCGGTAATTCTGTTTTATCAGGTCATTGCGCTGAACGTGGCTGTTAACTCGTACAGCAACACGCTGTTGACACTTCTTATGTCGAACCAGTTCGTCGAAATCAAGTCAGCCGTGTTTAAGAGGTTCGAAAAGGAGAACACCTTCCAGATGGCTTGTGCCGATATCGTCGAGCGGTTCCAGCTGTGGATCATGCTGTTGATCATCGCCATGCGTAACGTGGTGGAGGTTGGCGGGCTCAGTGTGCCCGGGGCAGGCAGCGAAGATGCGGGCCCTAGTTCCTTTCCTCTACATACGGCGAGTATACTGCCCGCGAGCTTTACGATTCTGCCCAACTGGCTGTGGTCCGGCGAAGTACTGAGCCCGCTCGCTGTGGTCATTGCAAGCGAGATGGTGGTGGACTGGATCAAGCATGCTTACGTGAACAAGTTTAACAATATCAAACCGAACTTCTATAGCAGGATTTTGGATATATTGTGCAAGGATTACTATACGAATGTACGTCTGCCCTCTCCCCCTTTCTACCTTCATCGTCTAACAGCAGTTCAGGCCTTCGTAACGCCCCAGTTAACCCGCCGCCTGGGCCTACCCCTATTGCCCTTGTCCTGCCTCTTCATCCGCGCCTCATTCCAGATCTATAACATGTTCGTCGCCGTACATGTCCCTCCTCCTCTGCCGCCTTCGACACAAACTTCTCTCTCCGTCGAATCAGCTACACCCTCACCCGCCATGCTAGCCGCTTTGGACCATCTAGACAAGAAGATTCGCATTGCTCTAGGCCGAGCGGTATACGGCTACCCTTTCGGTGAATCCGGTGGACTAGGGGATAATGTTTATGGCCCGGCCTCGGCTCCCACAGGGGATACACCCGAAGCAGCCGGCCTCGCAACTCACATTTGGCACTCGGTGTCCAAGTGGTTGCCAGAGTGGAAATGGACATCCGACGACGTCATTGCTTTTCTGACCATGATAACTGTCTTCCTTCTGATCTTTTTGGTGCTTCTCATCTTCAAGCTTTTGTTGGGTATGTTCTTGCTGCGGTATTCGAGAGACAGGTACGCAAGGATGAAGGTTAAGGAGGCTGCCATTGCTGCTGGACAGGCGGAAAAGGAGTCATTTGAGACACAAGGCAAGAGAGTAGGGGGGTATGGACAGGTCGAGGTGGGAGAAGAAAGAAGGAGGTGGATATTTGCCGATGATCCCAAGGGGCTGAACAAAGTACGGGAGAGGGAGAAGGGCGGCGGGGGAGGGAAGGGAGGAGGGGGTGGTGGGAAACCAGAAAAGGATTTGGGAACAGTGATGAGGTATGAGATGATTGCCAAGAGGATTTGGTAAAGGGATCCATGCCATTCTGAAGTTGGAAGAAATCGAAGCTTGTAATTGTCAATTCATTGCTTCCTGGATCCGGCGTCACCAAACACATAATATTATTATCTGTATTATATACATACACCTATATCTGTCATTGGAGTTCGGTGAGAACCAAGGTTGATACAAAATCTGGCCTTCCTGATAGCCTGCGGCATCTACATCTTGATCGAGTCTTGTGCCGTCATCGGCAGTTCAAATACTGTCTTTCGTTGAATAGAGGTGCGTGAGTTTCCTACCCGAGCAAGGTAGCAGGTACCTCTACCTAATGGTGTTTACAAAGGAATAGCAACGCTCTTATCACTCTTCAACCACCCTCTTTTCGCAAGACCATACCGCTCGGTTGCTAACCTGTTTGAATGTCAGCTTTCTCGGCCCTCATGCAAGAAAATGGAAAGAGAGATACGAACGTCCACTCATAATGCCCAGTCATGATCGTATACACCGAGTGCAGGTACTTCTCAACATGCTTCCTCACCATAGGGTCGGGATCTTCAGCAACCATCTCCCGAAGTCTCGCGCCAGCTGCTTCCATCTTGTTACTGACTTGACGCAAATCTTCAACGAGGAGATTGATAGCCTTATCCAGATTATGACCAGATGTGCGGTAGGTGAGGTCAATAGCCACAAGCCCAGGCCAGTTGACCTTCATCTCTTTTGGCAGGGAAAGGACGTCGTTTACACTGTCGCCGCTCTTTGTCAGTCACATATATTTCACAAAAAAACAAACAAACCAAACACCCCGAGAAATGGGCAGGACGGCACGAAAGCCGGGGAAGAAAAAAAAAAAAAAAAAAAAAAAAAAAAAAAAAAAAAAAAAAAAAAAAAAAAAAAAAA